CCTTCTTTTTTGAAAACACCATAATTTTAGATTTGCTGTAATTTATTGATAGTTGTTCCGCTTGACAATAGTCAGCAAGTGATCTCAAAAGCTTCCTCAGGCCAATGCAGGAAAAGGAGAGTAGGACTGCGTCGTCCGCATACAGAAGCACCGGGATGGGAATACCTGCCAGTTTGGGAGGGTGGGCATTTTCTTTCGCCATATTTACTGCTAGAGAGTTGATATAGAAATTAAATAGCGTTGGCGCGAGGACACATCCTTGTTTAACCCCATAGTGCGTTTGAATTTCTTTAGTTAGATGGCCTGACCGATCGCATCTTACCCTCACCCTGGTGTTTTCGTATAGACCACGGATAAGGCGTAATAAGCGTTTATCTATGTTTGTAGCGCCAAGCTTTTCCCAGAGTCTATCCCTTGGTATTAGATCAAACGCCGATTTAAAATCCACGAATGCTGCATATAAAGACCCCCCTTTTCTAGAATATTTGTCTGCCAGGTGTTGAAGGGTAAGGGCCTGGTCTATAGTTGAACGCTTTGCTCTAAAACCGGCTTGAGCTTCTGATAGAATATGCTCTCTTTCCATCCACTCCACTAATTTATCACATAAATGAGCAGCATACAGTTTGCTAATAATACTTAATAGACTGATTGGTCTATAGTTAGCTGGCTCAGTTCTGTTTCCTTTCTTAAATATTGGAATGATGATGGCTAAACCCCAGTCCTCGGGGATAATAGCCGCTTGATTTATACTAGTGAACAAGGCGGCTAGCACAGGGGCCCACCATTCGACATTTGCCTTAAGAATTTCTGGTGGGATATTGTCAGCACCCGGGCTTTCCCTGATTTAAGAGCTTGAATAAGTCCAGTAATTTCTTCTATGGTTACAGGGGCCATTCCTTACCAAATTCACTTGAAGCAGGAAGCAGAGCTGGGGCCAGTTGATTTGATGAATATAATGAGAGGAAATAGGCCTCCCATGCTCCAGCGGGTATAGAGTATTCGATTTCAATCGGGGAGTCTCTCCAGCTTTTTGCAATTATTTTCCAAAACGTGGCAGAATCTTTCCTTTGGGAGGCCTCCACTAGGCACTGCCATTCCTCCCTTTGTGCCTGGAGCTTTTTCTTGCTAATCAAAGCTTTATAACTGCGTTTTGACTCAAACCAGTCTAATGGAAGCGAAGGTAAGTTCGCTGTTCTATAGTTCCTGTACTTATCCAGCAGGAGGCGTTTCATAGCCATGCATTCTTGGTCAAACCAAGGTTTGGATTTATTAAAGTGTAGAGATTGCCGTGGCGTTTTTTGTTGGTCAGATAAGGTTGTAGCGACGAAATCAGTTCCCGGAACATGTCTAATCTGGCCTCAGGAGTTGGGGAATTAACGAGGTTCTCCTTTCTAGCAAGAAAAATATCTGAGTGAAGTCTTTCCGATATTTCATCACTCAATTTGCTGGACCATTTAATACGTGAGTATCTTAGCTCCATGTTTTCGAAGCATGGGGCTACAAGTTTATCAGAGCAAAATAAATCTTTTCTTACATCCAGTATTAAACAGAACGGTAGATGGTCGCTGTCAACCCTCTCCACCACTTTACATTCCCGTGCTCTGCTCAAAAGGTTAGATGACACCAGGACGTAATCGATAGTGGAGGCTCCCATGTTGGATATAAATGTAAATTCCCCACTGGGTTCTCTGTCGACACGACCATTTAATACAGTCAAATCCAGAGTGTTGGAAAACGTAGAAGGCATAGGCCTGCGTAATTGCAGCCCTTGTCTTTTGAGAGCCTTGGGGGAATAGAATGGGCTTCTTCAGAAATGGGAGGTACGTCGTGAAAATGAGCATATAACGCTTCGTCTGATTGGCCAATTCTGGCATTTAAATCCCCAGCCAGCAGCACTGCCGCAGCAGGAGTTTGATTCATTAGCTCATCGACATAAGATTCTATCCTATGCCAGAGATTTTTGATAAGCTGCTTGCCTCTTTGGGGAGGGGCATATATATTAATCAATAGAAGTGTGCAATATCTGCATTTCATCAATAATGCCATGGCCACACTGCTCAGAGGCTCCAGCTCGACGAAAGATGCTCTCAGCCTTGTGGATATTAAAATGCCTAGCCCACCCTTAACTCGTCCCCCTTTGTTGCTTGGTGAGCCTGCGAGCGAAAATGAGGCAAAACCATTTACATCTAGATCCCCTGTTAGCCATGTCTCTTGCAAGAAGACTATATCATGATCTTGAATAAAATTGACAAATGATTGGTCAGTCGCCTTGTTGAGCCAACCAGCAATGTTCCATGATAAAAATTTAAGATTGGCTTTATCACAATCAAATCTTTGTCAATTATTAGCTAACGTACTTTTAGGGTTTGTCGCTTTATGTATCGGACGCCTATCGTCTTTGAATGGCGGGCTATCCAGCCGCTCTATGATTTCAATAGGTGGATGCAAAGTGCTCACGTTTGTGAACACCAGCTCTTTATTATGCATAAATTCCTTCTGTGGATAGTCTGTTTTGGCCTGATTTTGGCCCAATTCTGTTTCATCTAGGTATCTCATTTTGTCCCATACGTCTTGTGGGGTCACCTTGGGGATATTTCTCTTTCGGGGGTGATGGAGTACTCTCCTTGAAGGGTGGCACATTCTCTCTTGGTGGAAAGTTAATCTCCGCTTTGATCTGAAGGTTACGTGTTGTGGTCTTTTTTTGGTCCCCCTTGATAACCTCGTTGCCTGAAGCTCTCTCAGCCAGCTTATCTCTTAGCTTATCTAGTCTTCCCAAGATGTCAGTTTGTATTAATGGTGGGAACATCCAGAATTGGTCAATTAGGATATTTTCTTCCATAGTAAAGAAATCCTCACCTTTACTTGCAAGGCATTGCGGGTTCTGTTTGTCAGGCCAGGATTTTGAGAGTTGTTTCCCCTTTCTAAGATTTGCCTGCTTAGTTTTCAAAAGGGGGCTCAAAGGAGCCTTATTTTCAAAGAACCTAAGTATTATTGTCCGTGCTTTTAAAAGGCAGGTCTTGACCTAAAAATATACTTGGCCAGGTTCTGATCCCTAAAAGTGGTCAATGCTCTCACTGAGTGACCATCATAATGTAAATATTCCACCGAGGTGATATCATTAGCATTAACCATTCCTGGCAGTATGTCATTTAGACTAGATACAAAGTTCATTATTCGCTGTTTCCCTGTAAGGAAGCCCTTAGGCTTCGGGAAGTTCGTGAATACCAGTTTTTGGGGATTTAGGATCAAATTCCAATCTCTTTTCTGACTGGAGGCTTGCCAGGTCTGAAGGGGGGTATCATCTCTACTAAACGCTTCCTCTTCCCCGCTGTTCGGTTTACTAAGTGTTTTATTGCCTTCATAGAAAGAGGCCTCTACTTCCGCAGCATCAGGTTTATTAAAAGTTGGTTATCCAAGGACTGAGTTGTTACTTCTGCCTTCTCATTTGCTACTGGAGTCAGCCTTAGCGAGTCCTCCTTAGCCGGTTGCTGTGTAACTACCTTTGTTTCTCTCTTTTTACCCTTCTTTTTGCTGCCCCGTGTGGTCGATTTATTTGGGGCTGGGGGAAGAAGTTTAAACAATTTCTGCCAATGTATGTTTCGATTACTGCGGGTATGCTTGGCTATCCTTGTTGTTTTAATATCAGAAGGTTGGCGGTTCAAATCCCCACGACAGGGTGAGCTCCCATTGCTCCGTCCCTGCTCCTGCCAACCTAGCAGTTCGAAAGCACATTAAAGTGCAAGTAGATAAATAGGTACTGCTCCGGCGGGAAGGTAAACGGCGTTTCCGTGCGCTGCTCTGGTTTGCCAAAAGTGGCTTAGTCATGCTGGCCACATGACCTGGAAGCTGTCTGCAGACAAAAGCCGGCACCCTCGGTCTATAGAGCGAGATGAGCACCGCAACCCCAGAGTCAGCCACGACTGGACCTAATGGTCAGGGGTCCCTTTACCCTTTACCTTTACCTTTAGGTACTGGAATAATTTCATCTACACACAGACTAGCTGCTGTAAAGACTTCCTGTTCAGGTTGGGACTTTGCCTGAAGGAAAACAGACTTCACTGTAAAAGACACAGCACATATTTCATTTTTTAAAAAAATAGTGGCAATGAAATCTCAGTATACCTGAAGGAGCATTTCCACCCCCATCATTCAGCCCAGACACTGAGGTCCAGCTCTGAGGGCCTTCTGGCGGTTCCCTCCCATCAGATGTCAAGGAAATAAACAACTATCTGACTTTTAGAAGACATCTGAAGGCAGCCCTGTTTAGGGAAGTTTTTAATGTTTATCATGTTTTTAATATTCTGTTGGGAGCTGCCCAGAGTGGCTGGGGAAACCCCACCAGATGGGCGGGGTATAAATAAATGATTACAGTGGTGCCTCTGGATGCGAACGGGATCCGTTCCGGAGCCCCATTCGCATCCTGAAGCGAACGCAACCCACATCTGCGTGTCTGCATGTGTGCGGGTCGTGATTCACAGCTTCCGTGCATGCACGTGACGTCATTTTGAGCGTCTGCGCATGCACAAGCAGCGAAATCCGGAAGTAACGCATTCCGTTACTTCCGAGTTGCCGTGGAGCGCAACCCGAAAATGCTTAACCCGAAGCTACTTCAACCTGAGGTATAACTGTATTATTATTATCCATTTAAAAGAGTTGGGTTTCTTAGTACAGGTCCTAAGCACACAGTTATACTGAACCTTACTTCTGAGGAAGCATGCATGAAATCAGATGGCAGATCCCTTTCCTTTCCTTTCAATAGAAGTTAGCAATAATTGTGTTTATCTGGATTTTACCTATTCCTTCTCTTCTCCCCCAGAGGAAAATGATTGGACCGTTCTCCATCTGCAAAGTCCACCCAGGAATTCAGCTACCATTCCCAGTGCTGTAAATCCTTTTGCGCACCAAAAAAGGGGAACATTTCAACTCCGAGTACTCCAAGAAATTGCCAACTCTCTCCATGCCAAGGGATCGAATTGCTAAGGAAATACAAGGGAGGATTGCCTAGCGTTTTGTGAAGAAGAATTTATTGCACTGAAGTCAGCGTACATAACAGGTTTCAGTTTTATAAAAATTAGGCAGATGCAAAAATCCTTGGCAAAGTCTGCAGTGATGCTACAGTGTATAGAAAATATACATATATGTTTTTTCCTCAATCGTTGAAAAGTCAGGCATTAGAAAAGCGAATGGCATGCATTTTCCCCCAGCCCTTTCACATGTCGGCCCGAACAAAGGATGCAAAGATGCCGTCTTCCTGAGCCAGCAGATTCTCGGGTGTGTCGTACTCCAAAATGACCCCTCGCTTCATCACAATGACCAGGTCTGCAGTCAGGATGGTGTGGACCCGGTGCTACAATTAAAAGACATACCTAAATTATTTCATTTCCCTACCAGGCATCATCTAGATGCGAGTTCGTACAATTATTGGACCAGCAGCATTATTTGCAAGCAGCATGGTGGAGGACCGCACACGCTGCTCCCCATTCACAGCTAAAATGCATTGGGGCTGAGCCACATATTAAGGATTTAAGAGTCTGTGTAACCTGTGGATCAGCAGCAGCCACAACAGCAAAAACTGAGCAGGGGTTTGAAGAGAGGGCTTGCTGCAGACCGAGTCAGAAATTACTGTATTTTTCCATGTATAAGATGATGCTTTTTGCTTTAAAAAAATTAGGCAAAAATTGGGTGTCATATTATACACCAGGCTTCCTCAACCTCAGCCCTCCAGGTGTTTTTGGCCCACAACTCCCATGATCCCTAGCTAGCAAGACCAGTGGTCAGGGATGATGGGAATTGTAGTCTCAAAACATCTGGAGGGCCAAGGTTGAGGAAGCCTGTTATATACGGATGGTGAATTAATGGCAGCAGCAAGCAGGAGATTGGCAGCGGTGATTGGGTGGGTGATTGGTGGCTGTGGCAAGGCCTGCTGGTGATTGGCTGTGGCTGCGGCAATTGGACAGGCGATTGGTGGCTGCAGCAAGTGGGTGGGTGGGCTGTTGGTGGCGGCGAGAGGGCAGACAATTGGCGGCTGCAGTGAGGTGTGCGATCGGCAGTGGCAGGCAGGTGGGTGAGCGATTGGCAGAAGTGACCACCCCCACCCACCCCCAAAAGCTAAACAACTTAATTTCTTAATTTTGGGTTTAAAAAGATAGGGGTCGTCTTATACATGGGGGCGTCTTATACACAGAAAAATACAGTACCTTTTTTTTAAAAAAAGAAAGAAAGATGTATACCTAAGGCATCATTCCAAGGGAATGAGTAAAGAGCACATTGTGATTCTCTGGGGATATATAGCTGACTGGTGCAGGGAAATTCCCGACACATTGACACTGCCTTGCGGAATGCAGGATCCCATCTCCAAGTCTCAAAGGAGAATGCTGGAATACCCTGTAGTGGGAATTGCTACAAAATCATAGAATTGTAGACTTGGAAGGGACCACGGGTCACGTAGTCCAACCTCCTGCAATGCAGGGATCTTCCACTCAACATGGGGCTCAAACCCACGACTGAGATTGAGGGTCACATGGTCTACCAACTGAGACATCTCAGTTGCAGAGCAGAGTGTTCCTCTTCAGGGTTCAAGCCAGCCAGCCAGCCAGCCCTGTTTTGGGATACTCCATTCCAATCCTCCCCTTGTTTTCCACCCCTTCTCTTTGCCATAGATACTTCACAGTCTCTGCTCAGTCCTCTTTGGGCTGTTTTGTTTGGGCTTTGCTTCCTGCCCCCTTAGAGTCTTTCCTCTGAAGTTCCTTTTTTAATTTCTTTAAATCTTGGGGTTCCCCCAAGCTTGTTGATACACCCCTCCCTGCACAACGATGACCGACTTCTTTTGTTATGTAAGAATCCACACTTGGGTGATGAGTTATCTGTTCGCACATATAATTAAATTCATAGGCTGCTTTTCTTTAAAAAACACACACACACACACACACACACACACACACAAAACACCTACAACTCACCTCAAAGGTATCTAAAATTTGTATGCTACAAATTCAAAACAAAAATAACAAAAAGGCACAAAGCACTGTTAAAATAAACTGTAATAGACCTAGTTGTAGTAGAGCAATCATTCCTCACATGCTCAAAGGAAAAGGACTCTCTTGGCTTGCTTGCTAAAGAATGAAAAAAAGTGAGAAGAGCTAATTGTCTTTGGTGTTCCAAAGCTCTGTAGAGCAATTACATAATAAAAGGTTCTTCTGATTTGCATGGGTGTAATTCATAAATGTTGGCATCTGCAGAAGGGCCTCATTATCTGATCTCAAATTTCAGAATAGTGGTGGGGTTAACTTCATATGGGAGAAAGTGGTGTTTCCTAGGTGGGCAGCCCTCACACTATTTAGGGCTTGGTTGTAGCAGCTATTCTAGAAAATATGCCTGCATCTCTCTTTTTGTTTTGGAAGAGTGAAGCAGGCCTCCACGTTTAATACAGGAATAAATTCTGCCCTACTGTAAAAACCTTTGGATCTCAAGTGTCAGAATGCCCCAGACCCCCCGCCAACACTATCATGATTGACTGTTCAGAGACTGAATGAAGAAGGGGACCATACAGGACTGAGTGAATGAATACCGAAAATCTTTCCGGAATCCTGGGTCAAGAGTATCTATTTGTTTGTCTTCACCAAAGTGGTGAAAAGGCCTCCCTCTTTGAGGAGCAGGTTGGCTGCCGCGTCACACTCGACGAGATCGCCTTCGGACAAGACTAAGACGAGGTCTGCATCTAGGATTTGAGAGACCCGGTGCTGGAAGGAAGAAAAGGAAAGGAAAGGAAAGGAAAGGGAAAGTAACAGAAAGGGAATGCCATGCAAAGATCAGGAAAGCTTAGAATAAATACAGACAGAGATCTTTATTGAAAGGAGAGGAGCATGTAAAGTAAATATGCCAGGATTGAAATCAGCATGGTGATCTATATAAGAACCCACTAAAGCAGTACTTATTCATTCCCACAATTACCTCCTTCTGTTGAGTGGATGGATATTATTGTCCCAAATACACGCCATAATGCCTCATTTAGGTTGTTCCAAATTCAGTGACAAAGCGAAGCCAGAACTCCGCATGAACACTTCCCTCGTTCTCTTACAATGGCAATGGCACCCACCCAAGAGGGGCTGGAACAGAGGTCTGGTGCGTTCCGGCTGAAAAAAAGCCCTGTCACAGGTAATTCAAAGACTTGGTGCTCATCTTTAAAGCCCTAAACAGCCTTGGTCCTGTATACCTGAAGGAGCGTCTCCAACACCCATCATTCTGCCTGGACACTGAGGTCCAGCTCTGAGGGCCTTCTGGTGGTTCCCTCACTGTGAGAAGCAAAATTACAGGGAACCAGACAGAGGGCCTTCTCGGTAGTGGTGCCCGCCCTGTGGAACACCCTCCCGTCAGATGTCAAGGAAATAAACAACTATCTGATGTTTAGAAGACATCTGAAGGCAGCCCTGTTTAGGGACGTTTTTAATGACGGATGTTTTAATGTATTTTTAATCTCTTGTTGGAAGCTGCCCATAGTGGCTGGGGAAACCCAGCCAGATGGGCAGGGTATAAGTAATAAATTATTATTATTATCACACATGACTATCTGCACCCAAGATCTGCCTTTTCCTAGATGGGAAAGGTCTCCTTGTATTATGGATTTTGATCCCACTCAAAATTCTGGAGTAGTCTCAGCTTGGGATTTCATTTAATACTGGCAGTGTTTGAATGTAACCCAAAACCATGGTTAAGCACTACACGCATGAACTGGAAAAAGGCCCCAAAAGGACTTGGGCTCATATGCTTCTCTCATGCCCTCCTCCTACATGGTTGGGTGAAGGATTCCCAATGCTTTCAATTTCACTTTCATAGCATCCTGTCTTGAAGCAGAAGTTATGGTTTACAACAAACCTTGGTTAATGAAACAGGCCAGCTTCATAAACTATGGTTTGAAGTCAGTTTGCTTTTTTTCAAAATAATAATAATAATGATCAGAGTTTGTTTTAAACCACTATCTTTTGTTTGGAAATAGACACGAGCCAGGATTTTGAGAAAGTACACAGAAGTCTTCAGAAGGGGTGGAGGAGGACTTCTGCAGGGTTTAGTTGTGCTTTCTGGGAAGCCTGGCTTGTCTTTACATATGAAACAGAGATTGAAGAGGGCCAGGAGAGATGAATGTAAGCCGATGGTGAGCTTCTTTTTGCTTCTGCATGTGCTGTTTCAGGACATTGTTTCCAGCAGACCAAGTTTATCATCTGCTGGGGAAATGCGAAAAGGAGGTCCACTGTGGAACGGCATACTTACAGCTATCGTCACCACTGTGCGATCAGCGAAGGCAGTCATCACAACCTTCTGCAAAATGTTCTCCTAGCAAATGAGAGATGCAACAGTCACTTAATGACCACAGGAGTGGAGCTTGTCATATGACCACACCTACAGAAGCTCCTGGGTCTGGGTCTTGCATGGCTTGTGGTTAAATATTGAGTAAACCTGACCTGTAAAATTCACCCAATCACCTGTATATATGCATCACAGTTGACCACCCATGTGGGTCACTCACTGCCTGTATAAATGTGTCCTGGATTAGATGTTGGTAGTACTTTTTTCTGGGGGTACGCATACCTCTAAACATTTTGTGAATCTTTGTACTTTTGTCCATTTACTGTATTTATTTTTCCCCATTTGAACTATAAAATGGTGATTTTCTTGAGTCAAAATGAGAGTACCCCTAAACATTTTTTCAGGGGAAAAAGCACGGGACGTTGGAATCAAAGGTGTGTTGACAAAGATAAAGTCTCCATAACAGTCCCCCTTAGAAAAAAAATGCTTAGGAACCACCAATCCCATTGAAACAGAGGAGTGTGCTATGTACAGAACTGAATTCTAGAATGATAGGATCCAGAATGCAGCAGTCTGATTGGTCTGTAGGAGCAACCCAATCCAGCTCCAGGTGGAAGTGAATCAGCAACCTGATTGGCCTACAGGAGCAGCCTGGAATTAGCCAATCACGTGGGGGCCATTGTGTAAATAATGTATATATAGCTAGACGTTTTGGGGAAAGTTTCATTCATTGCTACTACGAGCTGAATAAAGAGCATGAAATTCACACTCAACTCTCAGTATCTTTCAGTAAGGAACCCAGTGAGACAATGAAACAAGATCTTCTCCCTCCCCACATTTCCTAAAGCACCCATGTCCAACATCTCCCATTCAGGGGCTGGACTTTCCCTGACCAAGCTCTTTGGGGGATAGACCCTCTAATTGGGTTATGAGGTCATCAGGGCAAAGCACCACTTCTGCCCTGGAAGGCATTCTGTACAAAGTGGTGGTAAGACCTCCGCTGTAATGGTTCAGCACCTGACTCTCGAGCAGATTGGTCTGAGTTTTGCATATTAATGTAATGTTCCATGATCTCCTACTACGTGAACATGGAGGAACAAAAATGTGTCAGTCGTTTGTGGTTTGGGGTAGTGCTGGGGTTGGGAACCTAAGGCATGGGGATCAAATGTAGCCCTGCAAGCTTCTCTGCCTGGACCACAGAATGGTCCCCAGGTATGGTCCTCCTCCTCAGCCACACCCTCTTTCCCCAGGTCAAACCCCATGGGTCACACCCATGATGCTTGGCACCCGACTTGAGTGTTTTTGCCTGGATGCAATGTGTCCTTGAACAATGATCATGAATCTTGCTTGCCTGGATGGGAGATAGAGTGTGAATGTGAAGCTAGCCTGGTGTGTGAAGGTACAATGTACATTTGCTTCTCTGCCCACGTTCCCCTCTGGCCCTGCCCACCTCTGGCATGTGGCTACTTCAGAAAAGAATGTGGTCCTCAAGGTGAAAAGGGATCCCCACTCCTGATGTAAACCGAAGAAGAAAGTCCTCTGAATGGGTGGAACTAGGTGAACAGGGTCGTCTTCTTCAGTCTTGGCTGAAGGTAAAAAAAAATATTACATTCCTGGCTCTTCTTACTTTTGTCTAGTGCCATCCACAATTGGCATGTTGGCTGCAGATGTCTGTCCAGAAAGCGATGCAGCCCGTGGCCTGAAATCGGTTCCCTTTTTCTTAAGAAAAGTGCAAACAGAAGGGCAGTGGTTTACTCACTGTGGCCATATCGATGGATGCTGTGGCTTCATCCATGATGAGGATGCTGCTCTTGCGTACAAAAGCTCTAGCCAAGCAGAAGAGCTGCCGCTGGCCTACGCTGAAGTTCTCGCCTCCTTCAGTTACTATAGCATCTGGATGGGAGCACGAGGAGGCAATAATTAGAATTTCTACACCTGTCTCCAGCTGCCATTTATCACCAGGCAAGCCTCAAGGAGTTTTGGAGCAAGGTGCCATTGGTACATCAATGACATGAACTTCTGTCTCTCCATAATATCTGTCCTAAAGCACCAGGAACACAGCCCTGAGGCCATTTTGGACTCACAGCTGTCCATGGAGGAGCAGGTTAATTCTGTACCCGGGACGGCTGTCTAACAGCTCCATCTGGTACACTGGCTGAGACCCTACCTGCCCACAGACTGTCTTGCCAGAGTGGTCCTGCTCTGGTTATCTCCCGCTTGGACTACTGCAATGCGCTCTACGTGGGCAGATTTTTTTAAGTGTACACCCAAAAACGTAACATGTGAATAGGACAACCAAAAGACTGCAGGCACGTGGATCATGCAGAGGGGCAGGATTGGCTGCACCTCCTTATCAAGTACACACCTGACCACAAACCCAGAGTTGTTGCCAACATAACTAGTGGAACGGCTCTCTGAAACATCAAGCAGCCAAATGATTCCACTGCAGGCTGGACTCTTGTTTTTAATTGCATGTGTTGATAGGGGCAAACTAGTATTGCATCTGCCCCCGATATACACACCTAGACCTCCTGGCAATGACTTGACCATGTTCTTCAACTGGGCAATCTCCAGAGCTTCCCAAAGCGTATCATCCGTACATTTGCACTCTGGATCCAAATTAAAGCTAAAGAAAAGGAGATGTAGAAATGCTCAGAGTTTGTTGCTGGATACATTGCCTAGTTAAATCCTGGCTGGACTGCTCATCCGTTCAGTGAGCACATGCTTATTTTGTTACACTTCTATCCTGTTGTTCTTCCGTCATAGATCTGGATGTGTGATAATGTGGTTCCAGACCCAGACCTGCTTAGCTTCAGCAAAGTGGTGGCCTCATGTGACTTTAGACCATATACTAGTTCCCTTTTTATTTGAATCTCCTCTTTCACATGGCACATTCTTCCCAGAGCGAGAGAATCAGCAGAGTGGGAGAGAAAGCAGGGAAAGACACAAGCAAACCTGAAGCCCAATGTAAACGTATCCAAAGCCATCGAACATTTCCTATCTGTTGCAGTGGGGTAGCAGTGGGGGCTAGCCTCTCTTCCTCCTGCCCTATGCCAGTCTGGGAACATATATCAATGTGGAGAGTATGACACAAGATCATTCATATTCTCCAACAAAATAAACATATTTTGTGCCCAGAGAACCAAATTCTAACCCCCGCCCAAATAATTTGTATTTGGCACAGATTTTGTTCATTATACATTTGTTGCTGTTGTTGTTTTCTTTTTAATGATTTTTATTAAATATTTTATTGTTTACAAAAGTACGTGCATTGCCTCTTTTTCAGGTAGTAGTAATAATAATAATAATAATAATAATAATAATAATTTATTTATACCCCACCCATCTGGCTGGGTTTCTCCAGCCACTCTAGGCGGCTTCCAACGGAATATTAAAATACAATAACCTATTAAACATTAAAAGCTTCCCTAAACAGGGATGCCTTCAGATGTCCTCTAAAAATCTGGTAGTTGTTTTTCTCTTTGACATCTGGTGGGACGGCGTTCCACAGGGTGGGTGCCACTACTGAGAAGGCCCTCTGCCTGGTTCCCTGTAACTTGGCTTCTCGCAGCGAGGGAACCGCCAGAAGGCCCTCAGCACTGGACCTCAGTGTCCGGGCAGAACGATAGGGGTGGAGACGCTCCTTCAGGTACACTGGTCCTTCAGGTATATTGGTTGTGAGAACCTGACTTTGGGACATCCTCTCCCATCTCAACCAACAGCATTTAGGCAGACGTAAATATCTCCAAGTCCACCGTAACCAATGTTCCATCAGTCTGTCACAGTCTCTGAGGAAAGTGAGTCACAATAGGAGACTCAGAATTGTAGGCGAGTGCGTATGGGGAACACTTCCTGATTTAAGGAGCACAGTTCCAGTTAATAGGACTGGCCTGAAATAGATGGATAGCCTTTGCTTTCTCACTGAGCATCACCAGGTGGGGGAACTTTTGAGTATTAGGTATCCTGATTCAGGGCCTGAGTGGTATGTTCCATGCAATTCTGAGCTGGTTTGCAACTGTGCTTTGTGCATGCCTGTTTGGTGGTCAAATCCACAAGTGAAAAAGTTCAAAGGCAACAGCTGCCCTAGCTGTGCTTGGGGAAGACTTAGACGAGTCCCATCCAAAGATAGCACCAACATTCTCTGAAATCCCCGCTATGCAAAATTCTGGGCGCACAGCAACACCGCAGCTCACCAGCCAAGGGAACTGCAAGAGGAGGCGTTTGCGCTTACCGAATGGAACCACTGAATAATATGGGATCCTGCAGGATTATGGATAGCCTCGAGCGCAACATATCCAGGGGTATCTTTGAAATGTCGATCCCATCGATAACAATCTTGCCTGTTTGGAACAACAGAAAACACAACAGGTGAGGTGCTCAGTGATGTAAATAAAGCCTACAGAAAGGCAGAAAGGCGCCTGGAAACAACCCCAAATGTCTGTTGGGTCATAGGGCAATGCTTTGGGGACAGAGGTCTAGGGTCCTACTCAGAGGAATGAGCGGGGGGAGTGGGCGATGCAGCAGGCTTGGTGTTAATCATGTTTTGAAGCAATGTACTCGATGTTAGAATTCCTGCTCCATGATTGCAGTCATGGGATTTTTGTCTATCACATGACGGTATATGTTTTGACTCCACAAAGTGGGAAGTGACGGAGACAGTATGTTTGTGTTACTGTGTTCCGTGAAATGGGACTATTTGTTCTTTTTCTCTTTGCTGTCTGATGCTAGAGAGAGAGGGAGCCATGTTGCAGTGCTCCGTGTATGTTTGTATGTAAATAAAGTAGATTAGCCAAAATGCTGACTTGCTGAGGTCTGTTACGCAACTGCGCAAACTCTGCGGATCCCTAAGTGTGCCGGTGTCGGTTGGCATCGGTCGCTGTGATGTTCGGGCAGAAGAAAGCTTTTGAAGCTCCTGAACGAATGACCAGGAGGGAGAGAACATGTCAGTCGGGCATGTGTCTCTGTCAGGATCCTACTCAAGTGTAGGAAAAGCTGCTGACACTTGACCGCTAAAGTTATCATGGGCTAGTTCCTGCACCTGCACGGCCTCATCTTCTGTTCTGTCTCAGACTATACAATAGCCTTCCCCCAAACCGGTGCTCTCCAGACATTTTGGACTACAACCACCATTTGGCATGCTGGTTGGGGCTCATGGGAGTTGGAGTCCAAAGCATTTGGAGAGACACCAAGCTAGGAAAGAGTCAGCTCTAGAGGGAGGGGGTGCTGCTAGCTGGATTTTACCAAGGCAGAGTTTAGAACACAGATCTTTCCTGATGCTGCTGCTTCATAGATTCATCACTCTCAAGTTCAAACACAATCCCGGGAACTGCATACACTTTCATCTCCATTCCTTTTGTCCTTTCTGATGTAAGTGCGATAGTTTGAACCCTAAGCCCAAGTGAAAGGTGTATAAGAGCGGTTGAAATATAAAAGCAGCAGTTCATTAATTAACCAGTAATAGGGGCACTGAATAGGAGGAGGCAGCAAACAGGTTGGCTGGGAACGTGGTGAGAATCAACAACGCTGAATACCGCAAGGCACTGAAGTAGCCCAAATGTATTCTGTTGCTTGCACTTGAAAGAGTGTACTTTTTAGAGTCATAATATCATGACTCATGAGCCTGCAATACAAGGTCTTTTCTGATCAACAAGCTTGCTTCTTAAATCTTCAGCTAAGCTCTGCTAGACCAAACACAGCTATCCATCAGCCCTAAATGAACATACCGGTGTGGGGGGTGGCCCTAAGGAAGAGCAGCAAAATGTGTGGGTCACCTCTGGGTCCAGATTCTTGGTCAGCCTATAGAGGCACCTACCCTTTACTGATCCAACACAGCCTGACGGAGAATTATTGACTGACCCTCACTCCTTTGTTCCCTCCCCCCTCTTTCTCCAATTCTCTTTTGTTCTTCCCATAAAGGAAATATTTTGATTCCGCGGCGCATGATTAACGACGCTACTGAAGGGATAATTTACGACGTGTTGGACACGGGGGCAGAGAAAAAGCAGCACCTAATGTAGCTGTCACTATGGGAGGCTGATCTAACTCAGCCATGAAATAGGATATGGCCCTTTTGCGTTTTGGCTCTTCCTTTTAGATGATTGGCTGCATAAGCCTTCAGCTGCAAGGAGAGGAGAGAATAGCTCAGAACAGATGCTTAGTGGCAGTGTTATGTACTAACCCTGGAACCTAGAACAATAGGCAAGTAGGATCCTAGAATGCAACAACTGATTGGCTTGCAGGAGAAGACCAATCAGGCTCCAGGAAGAAGTTTATCAGCCTATTAGGATGGTAGGATCCTAGAATGCAACAACTGATTGGCCTGCAGGAAAAGACCAATCAGGCTCCAGGAGGGAAGCAGAATCAGCCAATCAGACGGGACTCATTGTGTAAATAATGTATATAAAAGCCTGAGGTTGGGGGGGCAATTCAATCACTGTTTTACAAGCTGCAATAAAGAGCATGAAATTACTACAGGACTCAGAGTATATTTCAGGCAGTAAAGGTGAGGCGTTAAAATGGGCTAGGTTAGGGATAGGGTACCTGAACGCCTCCGGATGTTGCTAGATTGCAGCTTCCTTCATCTCTAGCTATTGGTCATGCTGGCTGGGGCTGATGGGAGTTAAGAGTCCAACAACATCTAGGGTTCTCCACCCCCCCCACAACAGGTTCCCTGCCCTTGGAATAGGCAGGGAGTGATACTGTACCAAATGGACCAACTGGACCAAATGGTCAGGGGTCTCTTTACCTTTACCTAACTATGGTCCACTGCAGGGGATTGGACTAGATGACCCTCAGGTTCCCTTCCAACTCTAAAGTTCTATGGCTCTATGGCTGCTTAGTTGCATTTGGTTTGGTAATTCACAGGTGGCACAAACCTATACTAAGAAGTGACCAAGTACTCACCATCAAATATGTCTACCATTCTGAAGAAGGCCAAGGACAATGATGATTTCCCGCTGCCAGTGCGACCGCAAATCCCAACCTGAAAGAGAAGGTTCGTTGTGGCTTTTCTTGAGCATCGATGGAGGATTGGGGGAGGAGACCACAGTGAGCAAATCCACACACCCCTCCGCAAAAAAGTCCATGATGTTTTTTCTTTAACTACCTGAGATAGAGAAACGCTTCAGGCACATTGAGTTTTAAGCTGAGATTTGGCAGTGGAGCGGTTGTGGACACTCGGCAAGAGACAGATATGGGGTAGTGTTAAATTAAATTCATTAAAGTTCCATCAAAGTTTGGAAGATAATCCAAATTTTTCAAGACTTGTTTGAACTGAATGAATTATGAACCACACTTGGCCAGTATACAGCAATAGGCCAAGTTAAGTATATTCCTATTCAAGAAAAGAATTGGTTGGATGGATTTAATTCCTTGTGTTAGCTACCAGTAGGGTTTGGACCTATTTAAAATTGGCATATATATACACACACACACACACACATATATATATATATACATATATACATATATATATATATATACACATACACACACACACACACACACACACATATATATATATACACACATATATGTATATCTCACATCTGTGACAATGGCCATCCTTCATTAACTTTATGGTAAGAAAGAGAGTAAAATTATTTAAGTCTGAATACTGTAAACCGCCCTGAGATCCTTGGGTGAAAGGTGGTATAATAAATTAATAAATAATAAATTTATGAAACCTTCTGGCCTGGTTTGATGTAAGCTTTGACGTGCTTGAGAACCGGCTTCAGGTTGTTTTCATATCGGACGCACAGATTTTCAATCTTGATTTCTCCTTCTTGTGGCCAGTCTTTGGGGACCTGAGAAATATCTGGAAAACGAATGAAGTCGTTGACTGTCAGTGCTTGGAAGCCTTATCTATGCGATCAGTTAGCATGCAAGCGCAATATTGTTTTGCTCTCTGGCTTGTATGCATGTGCAAGATAAAGAAATTCATCTAAGTGAAAGATGAGCAAAATATACAACCAAAGAGCCTCCAACTGGATTAGAGGCTATTGACTCCGTTATGTTTCATCTTAAGATAAAACGGCAGTGTTAAGACTGCATATGTTAGGTGATATCCAAGTCATAGTCAAAGAAAACCAACTAAAATCAATAGGCTTCATTTCAGTAGGTCTACCATGATGCTGATTTAGAATCATAGAATATAGAGATGGAAGGGCCCCTGGGGTCATCTGGTCCAACCCCCTGCAATGCAGGAATCTCAACTAAAGCATCCATGACAGATGGCCATCCAACCTCTGCTTCCAAACTTCCAAGGAGGGAGAGTCCACAACCTCCCAGGGGAGACAATTCCACTGTCGAACAGCTCTTACTGTCAGAAAGTTCTGATGTTTAGTCAGAATCTCCTTTCTTGTAACTTGAAGCCGTTAGTTTGGGTCCTACCCTCTGGGGAAGGAGAAAGCCACTTCCGCCCTTCGGAGGAGGTGAAGTTACAGGCGTCACGCGTGCTTGGGGGGATTCCCGGCCGCATCACCTCCTGGCCAGCCAATCGGCTGGCTCTGGGGGCGTGGCCTGCCCTAGTTAAAGCAGAACGCGGCTGGGGATCTCCCTCTTTGCCAGCTGTTCCTGGTATAGTTCTGTAGATGGAAGAGGGGAGGTAGCGCCATCACCTGCCCCACATATTGAAGGGTAGTCCGATAAAGGATTCCAGGGGGCGTGGCCCTGTCCAAAGCCTGGGGAGGTGAGGGCCTAAGGTACACCCCCTATCGATGACCCTGGGGGAGTTCCTAGTTGATGTGCATCAGCAGGACTCCCCCTACTGGTGGTTAACCCTTCCCGGACTTCAAGTGGACGGGTTGAAGTGGGATATAGTCGGTTAGGACCAATGCCTAAGCCAATACCGCTCATCACCTGTAACCAACAAAGTTGTGGCCTTATTTAGCCCGTTAACCTTAATCATCATCATCATCATCATCATCATCATCATCATCATCAAGTTGTGGCCTTATTTAGCCCGTTAACCTTAATAATTGTGTCATTATTTCCACTGGGGGGGGCGGGAACTCGCCACGCAAAACAAGCTTGCTCCATCTTTCATGTGACAGCCCTTGAGATATCTGAAGATGGCTATCATATCTCCTATCAGTCTCCTCTTTTCCAGTCTAAACATACCAAGCTCCCTCAACCTCATAAAGCTTGATTTCCAGACCCTGGTCATCTTGGTTGCCCTCCTCTGCACACGTTCCAGCTTGTCAATATCCTTAGTTGGGTATCACTTACTTATGAGTAAATCAAGGAATGGGACCACACTGACTGTTCCACCTTCTGAGAATAACCTTTGAAAGAGCCTACAAATGTAGGAAAGAACTGGAAAAGTGTTGGCAATCAAGTCAGGTTCCCAATTGCACAAACAGAGCCAGTTCACACAGCTTTTACAGATGTGTGCTCCTTCAGAAGTTATAGTGACTGTATCTATGGGGCAGAAGTGAGGTCAGCAGGCATGAAGAACAGGACTGTAAGCATTTTGACATACCCATGGTGCCTTCATAGTTCTCTGACTCCATGTTGAGAAAACTGTTCACTTTCTTTACCGCACTCATTTGTACTTCTAAGTCGGCCAGGTTTCTCACCACCCAGTTCAAATAATTGGTGATCTGAAATGATACAATAGGATAATTTCACAGGATGGAAACGGGCCGCTAGTAGTACAATGTGACGGAGTGAGGCTTCATTCATCCACGCATCATTTTCGAAAGTCCGAACAGTGCTGACAGAGTCGTCGTTTTAAAATGGTAGCCGGATAAGCAGAACCAATGATTGTGTAGATTTATACCATTGGGTGATGTCTCCATTGAGTGATGCCTCCATCTCTACCATTGGGTAGAGACATCACCTTGCCAACAAAGGTCTGTATAGTAAAAGCTATGGTTTTCCCAGTAGTGATGTATGGAAGTGAGAGCTGGACCATAAAGAAGGCTGATCGCCGAAGAATTGATGCTTTTGAATTTTGGTGCTGGAGGAGACTCTTGAGAGTCCCATGGACTGCAAGAAGATCAAACCTCTGAGATCTTGTGGTGAAGGACAGTAGATAAATGTAATAAAAAATAATAGCATAGAAACATTTAAAAGTATAACCTCGTAGCACCCTGCGTACAGTGGCTTGATTCAGGTGTCACCAATGGCCATTCACAGGCTGTCTGAGCACCATCTCCAGCATCAAGTTGAACAGAGTCTGTTGCTGCTCCTGGCTCTTGCCACTGCTTGCACACCTGGGCAGGTGTGCAAGGCTATAACAAGAAGCAGGGGCTTGGGGTAGAAGGTTCGCAGGCTGTGAAGGACTTGTTCACAAATTTATTGACAGCTGCACAAATTATTATAGCTAGGAAGTGGAAGGGGCAAGCAGGAGATAAAATGGAAGAAGATATAAAGAGGTGATATAACTACAGTGGCTGCTCGGGTTGCGAACGTGATCCGTGCGGGAGGCACGTTCGCAACCCGCCACGCTGCGTCTGCGCACATGCAGGTCGCAATTTGGCGCATGCACAAAGCGCAATTTAGTGCTTCTGCGCATGCGTGGGCACCGAAACCCGGAAGTAACCCGTTCCGGTACTTTTGGGTTTGCCGCGGTGCACAACCCAAAAACCATAGCTGTCAACTTTTCCCTTTTCTTGCGAGGAATCCTATTCGGAATAAGGGAATTTCCCTTTTAAAAAGGGAAACGTTGACAGCTATGCCGAAAACGCGCAACCTGAAGCGTCTGTAAGCCGAGGTATGACTGTATTAATTTTCAATTAGCATGTGCCATTAAGGGAATATTCCCTTAATATTCCTCCTCCAACTTTTCCATTCCCTTCCCTCCTATCTCTTCCCCCGCTGAAATTTAGACTGCAGATTCCTCAGGCTGTGGAGGGATCTGCTTTTCCTTTGCTGTAAGGCATTGCAGGGGTCCCTTCCAACTCTACAATTCTGTGTACAGCAAGGATGAGTGACTGTGCTTCTCTGAAAGAGAGGCAGATTTCATCACTTGATTTTTACCTAAATATCCAGCCTGCCTTTCAAGCTGAGCTGTCCTGTAAAAGCTCCTTACAAAGGTTCAGGAAAAAAGTAGAGATTTTTAGAAAGTGAAATGAGGTTTTGCTTTTGTTTTTGTTTTGTTTTTTAAAAGGACAGTAAAGTGGATCCCCTGTCGAAAGCTGGATTTGGGAAGGCTAAAGTCCTTGCATGCACTTTCTTTGGGAGCACTCAGGGCCTGGGAATCTCAGTGACTTTGTTATGATTATTTCCAATTGGCTCGTAAAGCCAGAAGCTGATCCAAGTCATTCCAAACTCCCTCAGCCCTGGCTTGAATCCATAACTTGCAAGATTGTTTCTGTCAATATTGAGAGTGTTGGGAAGTGAACCATTTACGGGTTTTATTTTTATTCTTTTAACAGTGGCTGTGAACCCAGCGGATTGGTTTTGGAGTGTGCAAGGCACCGGCAGATTCTGCTGTGCAAAGTGCACCAAAACAAGTGGGATCTGTACTGGCTCCTGCAGAGCTTCTCGTTCAGTTTGGTGCAGCTTTCATCAAAATGAACTGCGCCCAAGTGCTGTAAACCTCTGTACGTACCGTTAATGCATAGAGGAGACCCAAGCCCACAAGGCCAGACTTTGGACCATCATTTGGAGAAATGGAAGCCACAGCTGCAGTGAGAACAATGAAAGCCCCCAGATAATCCTGCAGAGAGAAAACAAAACACAAAAGGTGAGGGGCAGATTTATGCTACAGTTCAGTTAAATTAAAGTTCACTGAATTAGTTCAAAAATCTCTAACAACACCTGAAAGCAGGTCCCATAATTGCTGGGTGAACTGTACGTATATCAAGATCATTTTGGGGTAGAACTTTGAACAACTTCCGATTCATCTTGAAATTAATTCTCTTCTATGTGGGCTAGACTTAGACTTTTCAGTTTCATTGGTAGGGAAAATAAATGCTTCCTTAGACATCTTAAGTATGTTTTATACTTCAGCACAGCAGCTTGTAGCATTTGAAAAGCCGACCCAAAATTTTTTTAGCTGATTTGGATGAACTTGAATTGAACTGTGAACTGAATGCAAACCCAACTAGTTCATATTGTAAAAGAACAGAACGTGAACTGCAACCAGCTCCTTTTTGGGCACGTTGAACTGGAACAAGAACTAGTTCTTCTTTTTTTTTTAAAAAAAGAACTTTTCAAGCTCTAAGTGGATCCAATACATCGATTTCACATTTCTTTGCTTAACATTCACCCTGCCTTACAAAGGACTAGTGCACCTTTACTTATTGTACAGCAGAAGGGATTTCAGCAGGGGGAGCAGGAGTGTGACTGAGGTTTTCAGCAACTGCTGTGCCTTTAAGTGCAGAGGTAGCAAATGTGGTGCCGCCAGATATTGCAGGAATACAGTTCCTAGCATTCTGCAGATGCCTGGGCAAAGAATGTGTGTGTGTGTGTGTGTGCGCGCGCGTGCTCGTGCGTGCTCGTGCGCGTGTGTGCATGTGCGTGTTACAACCCTCTGGTGGAATCTGTGAGGGATGGATACAGAACCAGTGACTCCCAGATTTGTTGGACTATAACTCCCATCACCCCTGATCAGTGGCCATGCTGGTTGGGGTTGATAGGAGCAGGAGTCCAGCATCTGCAGGAGATGGGTTTTCTCCCCCCAAATCTCTTCCCCTGTGCTGTGTTGGTGGGCTGATCTAAATCACCCATAGAAGGTGCCACTAGGAGAAATTTATGGACACAAAAACCTGTCGTCGTCCCCCCTCCCATGGTTCATAGTGGCAGCGGCGGTGGGGAGGGTTAAGTCAGGCACAATGGGGAAAAGCTAGTACAGGCCTTCATCCAAATCCTCAGTCCCTCGTGGCTGCTTTTACAAGACGAAAGTTATGGCTTTGGTGTTCCAATCACAGAACTCCAATTTAACACATAACAGGGGTCACCAGCCTTTCTGAGCTCGTGGGAACTTTTGGGATTCTGAGGGCATCCCATCCAAACTTTAGTTGTTGTTTTCCACTGGGTAACTCTCCCCGCCCCCAGGCAACATAAGGAGAGAAAGCACACATACAGAAAATTCTTCCTACACAACACACACACACCATCACGAATTCACAAGGGGGTCTGGTTAAAAGTTGGATCCAGCAGAACTAAAAGGGATCCTCTTCAATTTGCATGTTTTACACAGTATCTAAGGGACACGGGTGGTGCTGTGGGTTAAACCACAGAGCCTGGGACTTGCCGATCAGAAGGTAGGTCAGCGGTTCAAATCCCCACGACGGGGTGAGCTCCCGTTGCTCACTCCCTGCTCCTGCCAACCTAGCAGTTTGAAAGCACGTCCAAGTGCAAGTAGATAAATAGGTACCGCTCCGGTGGGAAGGTAAACGGCGTTTTTGTGTGCTGCTCTGGTTCGCCAGAAGTGGCTTAGTCATGCTGGCCACATGACCCGGAAGCTGTACGCCGGCTCCCTCGGCCTATAGAGCGAGATGAGCGCCGCAACCCCAGAGTCGGTCACGACTGGACCTAATGGTCAGGGGTCCCTTTACCTTTACCTTTACCTTTAGGAAAGAAATTTGGGGGAGATTTGCCAGGAGGGTGGGGATTCTCATCTGAGGATCAACGGTTTCTGTACAAGTTAGGAGATCACGACTGGACCTAATGGTGAGGGGTCCCTTTACCTTTTAGGGGTGGGGAGGAGGTAGCCACCCTCAACACAGGCGCCACATTGGCAAGCAGGGGTGTATAGTTTGGCCCTCAGCAGTCCTGTGCCATTCAATGGCTCTAGCACAGGCATAGGCAAACTCGGCCCTCCAGATGTTTTGGGACTACAACTCCCACCATCCCTAGCCAACAGGACCAGTGGTCAGGGATGATGGGAATTGTAGTCCCAAAACATCTGGAGGGCTGAATTTGCCTTTCACTGCTCTAACATAATAGTCCAGCCTGCAGCAGGTCTTGAACTGGTGACCGAAGGAACTCAGGAGGGTTTTCAGCCTGTGTGCCACCATCCATCTCTGGTCAGATTTGGGAAACCAGCAAAGAAGCCTCTTAAAATCAATAGTTCAGGTGATATTCCTCAACTCAAAGCTTCTGGTTTCCTTTATGGCCTTGCATAGCTGGATTGGGGGTGGGGAGTATAATCCAGCCCAGCCTAGCCCAACTCAGATTCTCTTCTGAATGACAATCACCCCCAGCAGCAGCAAATGAAGAAGTTTCTTGGCTTCATCGAGGAGAAAACTCAACAGAAATAACAATGAGCTATTTTAAGGATTGGCGCATATGAAAGTGTGGGTGTTTCGTAGCCAGATGTATTCCAGTTATAATTCTTTGCCCAGCATTTCACATCAAACAAAAGTTAACTGCCGGGTTCTAAGGTTTCAAAACCGTGGCAGGGATGCAGGCGTACGTACCGTCCTGACCTCCAACCATCTGTTGGCAGCCGACAGGAACAAGTATGCAATGTTGTTTGTGTCTGTCAGTTCCAGCATTCGCTGTTTAAATCTGGGTTCGTGCCTGCGAAAGACAAAGGGATTCTTACGTTAGCAACTCGCAATCCTGATGATACAACGCACAGAGCACAGGTTGCAGGGAAGTGGAACCTCAACATTCAGATCAGCTAAATCAGAGTAGGATTGTGCCAAGTTGCCGGGTGCCTTTTGAAGATCAGGAACCAGAATAAAAGCGTCCCACTCATTTGCTCACATTCATCCCTTTTTCTTAGGTTGCCATATTTCTAGAAGTAAAATTCAGGACACAATTTTTTTGGGAAATGAAACTCAAAGTTGTTCCCCTCCCCCCAGATACTGTTTTCACTGGTTTAATCTCAGCAACCTTTTCCCTTCTGAGTTCTCCCCTACCCTTCCCTCCTTCTATTTTCTTCCCCCGACTTCATCAAAATGTTCAACCTGATCCAAATCATAAAGCTAAAAGGAAAAGTGGGATAGAGTGTCGCTTTTCTAACTTCCTCCTTTAGCTCTATGTGTCGACATGCAGAGGGCCGGGAGGCCAGCTGGGAAATCCCCAGCTGGGCCGTTTCCTTCCAGCCATCCTGCTGCGAAGACTATCAGCCTCTGCTCCGACATAAATCAGCAACCCAGGCTATCAGCAGAGTGACCTGTGCACACAGAATAGGCGTGAGGCTTGTGGAAGCATACTACAACTACAGATTTATTAATCATAAATCAGGACAAAGAAACATGTCGTCTCTTTCTCATAACAGGGGAAAAGCAAAAGCTATACACACAACGGAAGTTCCCAGCAAGCGGTGCTGGAATATAAACAGACATGTGACACGCAACAGTTCCACACGTCTGCTCCTTAAGGTGGAATGGAAATCTCAACACTATGCACATATTAGACTGCTTCCTATGCGTCATGCATTAACTCAGTAGTTCGCAAACTTTTTTCTCTGGGCCACACTTTTGGAATAAAAATTTGCTCATGCCACTCCAGTTTTTTTCTTGATAAGAAATACAATGGAAAACAAAAAGAAACAAATCTTAGCAGTGCTTGATTTGTAACATAGAACACAACTACCGTATTTTTTGCACCATAACACTCACTTTTTTCCTCCTAGAAAGTAAGGGGAAATGTCTGTGCGTGTTATGGAGGGAATGCCTATGGGTGGCATGCCTACAGATTTTCCTCCTTTAAAAACTACGTGCGTGTTATGGTCGGGTGCGTGTTATAGAGCAAAAAATACAGTACTTTATAATATAGTGGACACTCGGCTTGCGAACGTGATCCATGCGGGAGGCACGTTCACAACCCACAGCGTTTGCAACCCGCAGTGCAGCGTGTGCACATGTGCGGGTCGCAATTCGGCGCTTCTGTGCAAAGTGTGATTTAGTGCTTTTGTGCATGTGCAAGTGCCGAAACCCGGAAGTAACCTGTTCCAATACTTCTGGGTTCGGCGCGGTGTGCAACCCGAAAACACGCAACCTGAAGCGTCTGTAACCCGAGGTATGACTGTATAACCGTGGGACATCCAGGAAGTATAAAACAAAGCAGCTACATAAGAACATGAATCATTCCCACCACACTTGCCATTCTCTCCTGCCACACCACTGTGGCACATCACACCCTTTGAGAACCACTGAACTAACTGGAATAAGTCAAGTAAAAGTGTGGGGAGAATCTTTGCCTGATGCCTAATCCAGAAGCACAGGCATCATTGATCTCTTTGGGGAGGGTTTTTCAGAGGCAAGGAGCCACCGCATAATAGGCCCAAAGCCCAACTTATTCCCAGTGTCACCCAAAGCAGGTCCCCGGTTAAAGATCAAAGTCAGGGATGGGGAACATCTGTGAACTTTCAGATGTTATTGGTACATCTAGAAGTCAGGGAAGATGGGATTCACAGAGCAGCCATGTAAGGAGGCCAGTCATTCTGTCCCTGCTTTAGGGAACAGACTGCTCAGTCGCTATAGCATTCCTGGATTGCCGGGGGTTGGAATAGATGGTCCTCCTGGTCGCTTCCAACTCTACAATTCTACGGTTCTATGACAGGTTCATACAGGAGAACAGCCCTTCAGAAACCAGTGCATCAGCTTGTCCTCTCTGACCTACCCGGCAGGTACTGATAATATGAAATCCCATGAGTGGGAGGAGAAGAACCCAGAAAACACCCCTCCATTTATACATCCTCCCTTGTCCTTATCCCGTCCAATGTACTGGCTATCTGATGAAGACCATGTCGGGATTCACAGAATGCTGTGTGAGATAGTAAGTCTGCAGGCTTGAGTTTGCTAGCTGATGCAACTTCTGATGTACTTCTATAGAAATACTCAGCAGTAATGTACTGACAGTTGATTGGCTGCCATCGGTTTAAAAGGGAAACCTGTCCAGCAGTAAGTGTGGTGGTGTAGAGGAGTGTGGTCAGAGAGAGAGTTTGAGGTCTTCCTATTTGCCTTAAGGTGCAGCCAGGTACTCTGTTTGACTATGAACTGCTTGTGTATTATAGCCTGTAGATATTTGTATATATAGCTCACAATAAATATACTGCACTGAAGAACCTGGAACACTGATCATTTCTGCTAAAGTGTCACAAAAAATTCACGACAGACCAATCACAAAATGCCATCATCCCAGAAGATGGAAGGAGATTGGGTTTTATGCTTTGGTCAACATTTAGTAAGTGATGCTGTAAAGCCAATGACATGCTTTTGATGCTCTTTTTGGGCTCTGTGTGCTGGCTGGCCATCTTTTAACTCGAGCCAGGTGTTTACATAACTACCAAGTCTCCCTCCCTCCCTCCCTCCCTCCCAAAAACTAGCTCAGAGACATTTCATCATGATACATACATTTCTCCATTAGGGGGAAGGGAAGAAACCCAGTATTGCTTCAGCTTGGAGTGCAGCAACTCTGCTATAGTGATGTTTAGAAGAAATTGTAAATATTGGCAGGAGGCTGACTGTATTGTATAAACGTTACTGTTGTACTTCTGCTCTGGTCAAAACAGATGAATTGCTCTTTGCTGGTTTATTATAAATTGCAAGAATGCAGCGCTTGTGGTGCATTTTTGTTTAATTCCATTTTGCTTTTTGCAAACTTGGGAGCCAAGAACGGTTTTTACCAAAAGAATAGCCTGATTAACAATAGCAATTGATCCAGTTTAGGATACAGCGGAACTCAGAAAGGGGAAGCTTTGCTCTGTTTGAGTAAGCCTTGATTGGTGCCAAGGTGGGTTACAAAAATGCCACTATGAAAATAAGCACAATTTACATTTGCACAATGCAACAAAAAAAACAAAGCACCCAATGACAAAATAAGAAAACTGGAGCACAGAAAAGCCATGCAGAATATAGGAATACTCAACAAAAGGCGTGGTAATGAGATGCATCTTGGGTAATTGATGAACGGCATACGTATTGACATGAAGCCTATCCAACGCATCGTAAAATCCCTGGATGCACAGCCCTGAAATGATTTGAATGATTGCCAGTACAGTGGTACCTCTGGTTACATACGCTTCAGGTTACATGCACTTCTAGAAGACATCTGAAGGCAGCCCTGTCTAGGGAAGCTTTTAATGTTTGATGTATTACTGTATTTTAATATTTGGTTGGAAGCCACCCAGAGTGGCTGGGGAAGCCGAGCAAGATGGGCGGGGTATAAATAATAAATTAGTATTAGTTGTAGTATTAGTATTAATATTATTATTCAGGTTACAGACTCCACTAACCCAGAAATAGTACCTCGGGTTAAGAACTTTGCTTCAGGATGAGAACAGAAATCGTGCAGCGGCAGCGCAGTGGCAGGCCCCATTAGCTAAAGTGGTGCTTCAGGTTAAGAACAGTTTCAGGTTAAGAACGGACCTCCAGAACGAATTAAGTACTTAACCCGAGGTACCACTGTAGATACTGGTTTAAGGTGGCAAAGCTGTACTCGGTCTTAGAAAGCCTTGGTCTGCATATTCCTGCAGGTTTATCTCTGGGGTATCTGGATAAGGGATTGGCCATTTGGCCATTGCAGAAACAGAGCTTCAGATCTCAAGAGGTTGTAAGAGACAGCAACATATGTACCTGGAAGCACTTATTTTGTTTTTCCTGCCAGGGTGACTATTGAATTGACAAACCTGCCCTGGTCTTCGTTATCAATAAGAGTGTAATTCCTAGATGCTGTCGGACTACAACTTCCATCATTTCTAGCCAGCTTGGCCAGTGGTCAGAAATTATGGGAGTTGTGGTCCAAGAACAGCTGGGCACCCAAGGTTGAGAAAGGCTGGTATAAGGCATCTCAGTTGTTGTTTTGGATAGGGGGGAAATGTAGAGGGACTTATGTGACTCACAATCAGTGCTTTTTTCTGGGGGGATGCATACCGCTAAAGATTTTGTGAATCTAAGTTTGGCTTCATTGAGGGGCAGTATGTAGTTTTATGTAGTTTTGTGGTAGTTTTGTGTAGTTTTCAATTTCATTGTTCCGCAAGGGACAATGACAATAAAGATATCGTATCGTATCGTATCGTATTTCAATATGAGGGGCAGTATTTCAATATTTCATAAAGAAGGCTGATCGCCGAAGAATTGATGCTTTTGAATTATGGTGCTGGAGGAGACTCTTGAGAGTCCCATGGACTGCAAGAAGATCAAACCTATCCATTCTTAAGGAAATCAGCCCTGAGTGCTCACTGGAAGGACAGGTCCTGAAGCTGAGGCTCTAATACTTTGACCACCTCATGAGAAGAGAAGACTCCCTGGAAAAGACTATGATGTTGGGAAAGATTGAGGGCACAAGGAGAAGGGGACGACAGAGGATGAGCTGGTTGGACAGTGTTCTCGAAGCTACAAACATGAGTTTGACCAAACTGTGGGAGGCAGTGGAAGACAGGAGTGCCTGACGTGCTCTGATCCATGGGGTCACAAAGAGTCGGACACGACTAAATGACTAAATAACAACAACAACAGCCTCACCTGTCCCGGGGACAGTCTACGGGATATCTAAAAATCCAGGATAGCAGTGGGAAGCATCGGGAAACGGCGCTGGAATAATGGAATTTCCAGCAAAAAAAGGGAAGGTTGACAGCTATGCACTGTGCGTGCCCAACATCATTGTGACGATGTAATGACGTTGTGATGTGGCATGATATACAGAAGGAAATGTGGACCCCAGGCTGCAAAACATTCCCCAGCCCTGTACAGAATGAATCCTGTGATGTGTGAACAAATGTTGGCAAGTCTGCAAAACTTTGAAGTGCTGGGAAGTGGGTAAGAAAGTAATTGCCCAGTTATTAAATTTATGTGCCCTGCTTCCTCTGAGGCTCACAGAACAGTTCAGAAAAATGAAGACTCAAAAATACAAAGAGTAAGAAAGAAAGATCTTGCCGAATCTGTTTCGGCAGTGGGATAAAAGGGCGGTATGCCTACAACGAAAGCAGCAAAGTCACTATGAGCGAACTACTTTTTCTCTCTCTGAAAAGCTATTGTCTGTCTCCCGCTTTGGAGAGCTTCTCTTTGGCAGCCACAATCCCCTTCCCTTCCCTTCCCTCCCCTCCCCCCCCCACCACCACACACACAATGGAAACTCTGACACACTCAATCTGCATCTTTTCATCTGCCTCCAGCTCCTTCTTCTGCACATTCTTTAACTTTTTATCCTGTTCAGATGACGAACAAAAAGGTCACCCAAATCCCAGTCTACTTGGCCTGTACAACGTTGCGGTTAAGTAGTCCAGGGAGCTCATGACTGCTTGAGGGGGTACATAATGAACTCAGAACAAAGGGAGGCAACTATCAGGCTTATCTGGGGGGGGGGACACTTTGGTTCTGGGATGGAAGAAAATTGGTTAGCTGCTGGAAGAAAGCATGGGTGGAATGGAATGATCTTAGGAAATTAAGGTGAGACGGACCCAAGACAGAGGATTTATTTTTTTTAAGTTTGCAGTTCAAAATCTAGGTTGCCACACACCATCTAAAAATATTGGTCAGGATGAGAGGAATTCCATAGATAAGGATGGAGCAGAGATTTGTTTGATCTGCATTTTAATGCAAAACTCCTTAATTCACATTTCCCGAAACCAAAACGTGGCTAATCCATCAAAACACATGCTTTCAAAAAAAAATAAATTGCAACTCAGTTCTCCACCCAGAATACCCGGTTCGAATCCCCACCATGAGGTGAGCTCCCGTTGCTCGGTCCCTGCTCCTGCCAACCTAGCAGTTCGAAAGCACGTCCAAGTGCAAGTAGATAAATAGGTACCGCTCCGGCGGCAAGGTAAACGGCATTTCCATGCGCTGCTCTGGTTCGGCAGAAGCGGCTTAGTCATGCTGGCCACATGACCCGGAAGCTGTACGCCGGCTCCCTCGGCCAATAAAGCGAGATGAGCGCCGCAACCCCAGAGTCAGCCACGACTGGACCTAATGGTCAGGGGTCCCTTTACCTTTACTTCTCCACCCAGACATAAGTATAAAAATGCATATATTGTTGAGAGCAAAGCAACAATGCTTGCACTGTTACCTGAACCAGTGTAGGTGCGGATAGACAGAAAGGCAACCTGTTCTTCCTCCTCACCGATTCCTTCTCTTTTAGTAATTGCTTGTTGGTAGAGTAGATCACTTCCTCTCAGGCTTAACTCGCAAGGCAGCAGAGGTTTAGGATCTCCTAGATAGCCTACCTTCCCAGGTTGATGAGCTCCATCTGCCCCTCACTTCCCTCTACACTACCTACGGGACCGCCTCTCCTGGTATGCCCCACAGAGAAATTTATGGTCTGCAAATAAAAACACCCTGAAGATCCCAGGTCACAGAGAGGTTAGGCTGGCCTCAACTAGAGCCAGGGCTTTCTCGGCCGCGGCTCCAATCTGGTGGAACGCTCTGTCACAAGAGACTAGGGCCCTGCGGGACCTGCCATCTTTCCACAGGGCCTGCAAGACAGAGCTGTTCCACCAGGCCTTTGGTCAGGGCGCAGCCTGACCCCCTCCTCTGGCAATCTGCACAGAATTTTGCTTAATGGTTGCCATCAATCTGATTTTAATTAATTTTATAATGAATGTTTTTAGAATGCTGGATTATTTTGATTGTTGTTAGCCACCCTGAGCCCAGCTTCGGCTGGGGAGGGTGGGATATAAATAAAATTTATTATTATTATTATTATTATTATTATTATTATTATTCTCAACCTGTGGGTCCCCAGATGTTGTTGAACTACAACTCCCATCACCCCTAGCTAGCAAGGCCAGAGCTCAGGGATGATGGGAGTTGTAGTCCAACAACATCTGGGGACCCACAGGTTGAGAACCGCTGCTCTACACCATATGCAGAAACTGCCTTCTTGACCATTGGACCCACCGTTGGTCTTGTCTGCTCACCTGGCTTAGCCAGCCAGTCAAAGGCGTTTCCCGGGGTGTGGCTGCTGCCACATACTACATGCTGACAACTTATAGGAGCCCCAGGTGAGAGGTGAGTGCAGGGTGGGGACCTCAGAAGGAGCATGATGTGCCCCCTACCAGAGCTAATAGCCCTCCCCTAACACCCCATACACTCCAAATTGTTTATATATAATGTTTCAGGAGCTCCTCCTACACTCAAGTAGGACCCTGGCAGAGACACATGCCCAACTGGCATGTTCCCTCCCTCCTGGTCGATCGTTCAGGAGCTTCAAAAGCTTTCTTCTGCCCGAACATCACAGCGACCGATGCCAACAGACATCAGCACACGTAGGGATCTGCAGAGTCTGCGCAGTTTGCATGACAGACCTCAGCAACTCAGCATTTTGGCTAATCTACTTTATTTACATATAAACACACACGGAGCACTGCAACATGGCTCCCTGTCTCTCTAGCATCAGACAGCAAAGAGAAAAAGAACAAAGGACAATAGTCCCACTTCGCAGAACACAGTAACACAAACATCCTGTCTCCTTCACTTCCCACTCTGTGGAGTCAAAACATACACTATCATGTGATAGACAACAATCCCATGACTGCAATCATGGAGCAGGAATTCTAACATAATGTGTGTATAAGGAGAAATGTGCCGTAAAAAAAGAAATCTGTTGCGATACAGACATTGAAAATAGGAGAAATCAAAATGGGCAGATTCATCTATCCCTATCCATAACTACTTATGATATCCAATGAAACTTTGCACTGGCATTGCAGGAACACCAGACCACTTTGCCACATGGCAAACCACTTTGCTAGATTTTTAGGTCTACTGTTGAGAGGGGGAAAGTAAAAAATTTGCATTCTGCAAAAAAAGGGGGGTACACACACAGTTTGCACACACATCCCCCAAAATTTGGCAGTTTATAAGATTGACCCAACCTTTGTCTGAACCAGGGAAAGGGGTGGAGCTTCATGCTCCAGCACTGGGGTGTGGAGAGCAGGCGGGGCAGGGCTGGCGCACATCCCGGGCTGTGGCTTGCAGCCCTCAGGGGTGTGGCGCGTGTGCTGGGGGCGTGGCATGCTGCCTGCAGGGGCGGGGTGCCCAGTGCAGGTGGGGTGGCAGCCACGATGGCACCCCACCGGGATCGCGCTGCCGGGGGCAGTGAGCTCCCCCCATACTCCTCTTCCTCTGCCAATGACCAGGGGAAGCCAACATGCTGCCCTCCAGAAATGATAAGGCTATGAGTCCCATCATTCCTGCCCACTGAGCATCCTGGCTGAGGCTGATGGGAGTTGTAGTCCAGCAACACCTGCAAGCTGCCATGTTGGCTACATTAAGCAGACAGGGGGTTCTGCTCTGGCTTCTGTCTATGGATTGCCTTCGCCTCTCACTTGGCAGGAGCTTGGCCTGCAAACAGCCAGTTGGCAGCTGAACCAATCGAGCTTCCCAGGGTCCCTTTAACCAGCACCTACTATAAAGGGAAGTCCTTGTTTACAAACCTGAATGCTCTGATGGTAGTGAGGCCTTCCGCCGTCTCTGAAAAGTGGCAGAGGAGAGGCAGCTGCGTGCTGTCATCAAGTTCCTGAAGGTCCCTGTCACCAGTCGAAGGAAGGTACGTAAATAGCGAAGAACAGATTATGGAAATTGAAACGGGAAACACAAAACGAAAGAGCAGCAGCAAATGGCAAACAACCTCACTCTTTTAAAGCAGGAACCCTGTTTCAACCTGAGGGCCACAATTTGTCCTGGGCAACCTCCCAGGGGGGACAAACCAAGGGTGCATATGCCCAAAAATGGGTGTGGCCAGACACAGGCCACTCCCCATTCAGGAAAGAGAGATGCTTCCATTAAAGGACACCTACCAACCGGGTAAAGTCACTAGACTTTCTCAACCTGTGGGTCCCCAGATGTTGTTGGACTACAACTCCCATCTTCCCTAGCTAGCAAGGCCAGAGCTCAGGGATGATGGGAGTTGTAGTCCAACAACATCTGGGGACCCACAGGTTGAGAACTGCTGCACTAGAGGGTCACATAGAGCAGGGTCAGTGAATTATGTGGCCAGAAAGGGGGGGTGTGGTGGGCTGGGCAGGATCCTGATGGCTGGGTAGAGAGGTCCAGAGGGCCACATTCAGTCCTTGGTCCTCTGGTTTTCCACCATTGATTTAAAACTTGCTTTTGCTTAATTGGCGGCAGCTACAAGCATCGGAATGATAATGGAAAACATCAATAGCTATGGACTTAGGCTATATTTGGGGTGGTTGTTTGTTTTTGTTTTAAACTTACTTGGATGCAACTCTGAAGTATTTCTGGATGAAATAGAAGGCTATCCCCAGGGGCACGAGAGCGACCACGAACCACGGCGTGGCATACGAAATGATTCCGATGGCAGACAGGCAGAGCAACGTGGACCGCGAGAGGGACTCCAAAGTCGGGGGGATGTGCTGCACCAAAGATAATTTGCAAGTGTTAGATTAGGCCAACATCCACTAAAGTTTATCCACAACAATTTATTCACTGTTTTATTTATAGCATTCTTCCTTCATAGAACTTGAGGTGGCCTGCTTCTTCATCTCTTTTGACCGTACCAATGCTTCCTTTATGCCTCCCAAGGCAGCATAAAATACAGCTGCAAGATTTCACTACGCTCTTCTAACACTGGCCAGACACAGACCTCATTAGCTAACTTCTGGCGTCTTCAGATTTGGGGACAAAAGACTGGATAGCACACTTGGTTAGAGTGTGGTACTGACAAACGCCAAGGCTGTAGGCTTGGATCCTGATAAAAGACAGATGCATATTCTTGCATTGCAGGGAGTTGAACTAGGTCAGCCTTTCTCAACCTGTGGGTCCCCAGATGTTGTTGAACTACAACTCCCATCACCCTTAGCTAGTAAGGCCAGAACTCAGGGATTATGGGATTCATAGTCCAACAACATCTGGGGACCCACAGGTTGAGAAAGGCTGAACTAGGTGGTCCTCAGGGTACCTTCCAACTCTATGATTCTATGAGAAAACTATCTTACTGTTTGTGCATGCACTTCCATTTTCACTATCCGCCTGTTTTCACCCCCTATTTCTCTGGCAGCAAGTCCCACAGGTAATAGCTGCAGTGAGAAGTTCCCTCATCAGGAAATAGCTTGCACAGCCGTGGGTGCTTGCTGTCACTGCCCATCAGCTGATCCCCACTTTGATAGCTTGCAGATGAGGTCTGAACCCAGACCTGTGAATGGACTTGGAAGGGGTTTGCTGCAACGGTCCCCTTTGAACTTTTGACAAATGCCAGTTGTCTCTCGTCCCACATATTTTGGCCTGTGGGGGTGGGGGAATAAAGGCTCTGGACCACCTGACGAGATCAATGAGCTTACCTGATCAATGATATTTGTGTCGGCAGAAAAGCGGTTGAGAATCAGCCCCAAGGGTGTTGTGTCAAAGAATCTATCAGATGGCAAAAATATATAAACGAGGAAGAAGAAGAAGAAGAAGAAGAGATCAGTGCTTATATTCTTCTGCTTCCTGAATTAATCCCACATAAAGTACTAGGTGATCCAAGCTGCTCTCTGGCAACAGAACTCAAGGCACCTTGACCCAAATACCATCATGGCAGCTTTGAGGCTGAGGGTGCTTAGGGCCTGATCTCCACTGAGCTGCAATGCCACCTACGTAATGGCGAGAGTGGGTACTGCAGCCCATCAGCCCAGCCAGACCAGGTGACTTGAGGAGCCAATAGGAGCCTGCCTGGCTCTATAAAATTACTGCTCCAGGCGCAGCTCTTCAATCTGAGCAAACACCTTTTTGTGAGGAGTTGCTGAAAAGCCTCACCTCTTTAGCAACTTGATCACAAGTCTCACACAAGCCCTATGTTATCTGCCTATGGGTCCTAAAGGTGACTCGTTTCATTTTCACTGCACCTGATTGGTCCAAGGATGATCTTGTTGAGGAGATCGTGGTGAAGGTTCTTAGCTGCTGTCAGGCCCATCCATTCAACAGTCAAAGACGTGACCAGGCAAAGGACAATCCCTGCGCCACTAAGGATGCTGAACACAGCCACGTAACAAGTCTATTAAAACAAGGGCAGGAAGAAGAAGAAGAAGAAGAGTTTGGATTTGATAGCCCGCTTTATCACTACCCGAAGGAGTCTCAAAGCGGTTAACATTCTCCTTTCCCTTCCTCCCCCACAGCAAACACTCTGTGAGGTGAGTGAGGCTGAGAGACTTCAAAGAAGTGTGACTGGCCCAAGGTCACCCAGCAGCTGCATGTGGAGGAGCGGAGACGCGAACCCGGTTCACCAGATTACAAGTCTACTGCTCTTAACCACTACACCACACTGGAAGAAGACAGGTTTCTCATCCTGAGAAGTAGGGTATGCATTGAAGTAGAGCATGCAATTTGGTATGCACTGAAGGCGGAATCTATCAAATGCACACTTTCCAAAACAATATGTCAACTGAAATTTTGAAATTCACAACGGTCTGAATTTTTCGATGTAGTACATCAGTCAAACACAATTTGCAAAAAAAGCATAAATTAGGGGAAAATTGCTTGCAAAAATGTGCACATTATTCAAAACTGCATATAAACATGTTTTATAATTAAAATAATACAATAACATTATAATTATAAATTTGCACTAAAATCCTCATGAATTTTCAGGAAAGTTTGTTTAAAAATAATAATGTGCAAAATGCAGAGACATGAAGTTAAGACTGGAAAAATGAGAAACAAAGAGAATCAACACTGACAGAGCCTTCAGCCCCTACTGGGAAACTACTTAATTTTCCTTTGATTATGAAGCACCCTCAAAGACATGCTTAGTTTTGCGGTGCAGTCCAGCTGGTGGGTCATAGTTCCAAAGACTTCTGTTTTAGGACTCTGTGCACTTCCTATTCAAATTAACTGAATGTTTTTATAGCACTTTGGGGGAAAGAACGAAGTTTTCTGGTCTCCTGTGTGCGCCTGTGGGAATACGGCTGAGATACAAAACTAGATCACAATATTACTGCTGAAATTACCTTAGAAGGAATGTCTCTAAGCAGTGGGGTAATACAAGGGCACAAAACAGGACTGACATACCAGTCAATCAGTGAGCCCCAAGTGTCTCATTTGCTCCAGGGATGGGGAGCATTAGTTCTAGGGGCTGAATGTAGCACTGTGTTTTTCTATCTCGCCCTCAGGACTCTCCATAGGCTGTAACCTCTCATCAAACATACTCCTTCTCCACAAAATGCTTTGTGCATCCATGTCTAATCTTGCCCCCTTTCTAAAATGTATTTATTGGTATGTGTTTATCTTTTTGTAAATCTACAAAGGACAAAAATAAAATAAAATGGGGATTATGGGGTTTTCTCAAGACGGTGGAGGGCGTGTGTGCTGTGCCCATTGGTGGAGAAAATGCTCTACGGGTGGGGAGAGGGACAAAAATGGGGTGCCAATTGGGGGGGAGTGAGAAATGTCCCTATTTTCATCTCAGGAATTTTGGAGGGTATGCCTCCTTCCAAATTTGGGAAAGCACTAACTAGGCTGGTTGAAGAAGGGTGGGGGACTCTTGGACCCTATCAGGGCCTCACGCCCCCTTCCCAAAGCCAAGGGCCTCCTTACCCAGCCTTCAGGCCATGCGTTGGACCACCCTGCAGGTTGTTTATCTGTTTATCAAACCATAAACCTGTTTATCAACCCTAAACCTCTTTAACCTCTGCATGTCGGCCTACCTTTCTGGCCGGCTCCTCTGTGGAACACAATGCCTTGCCGTTGTTAGTCATCGATGTCCACTGTGCCAGCCAGTAATCAATTGCAACGATGACCGAATGCTTCAGCAATTTTGAGAAGATCATCAGGGAGAGTAAGAGAAACCCTCCCGAGGTGAGGTACTGCCAGCAGGTTTTCCAGGGCAAGTTTGTCCGAAGTCTCATGACGGTTGACATGTTGTCATCGTCTTCCTCCTCCTCCTCTTCCTCTGCTAGGTCACAAATTTAACTTAGTCAGTTCATCTGGCGTGTGTGTCTCAGCTGCAAGCAGGGGCGGTCCACATTGTATGTGAACAGACCTGATTCACACCTCCTGGACTAAATACATGGATGAGATTGTGACTGCTCTTCAGATTTTGCACTTCCCTGAATTTTATGACTGGGAAAAGTACCCAACATGTGTAATAAATAAATAAATTACACATTTTAGGGTAGAATAAATTTAGAAACAAAGACACCGAGATGAAATAAGTATTTAAATATGTATTTTGTGAACAAATGCATAATTAAAAACGTATTTTCATGAAGTTATATGTGTGTGTGTGTGTAAAAATAACAGATTTATATTAATCATATTCTTTATTGCTGTTGTTTCAACCATCCCAGCATCAACCAAAATATATCTTTACATTAAAATATACCAGAAATAGTAATGTACAAAAGGTTAAAAGAAGAAAAGAATATGAGAATACATAAGGTTAACGGAACTAATACATTTCAATCATCCAACTAAAATTTTGCAGTTCACTCAATTTTAAATTTCTCAGCTTTTGGGCAGCCAAAAATCTCACATATCTGTCAAAAATGTGCCAAAACCAGACAACAAATATGTTGTTTTCACTTGATCATGACCATCAGGTATCTTACTTAAGGAATTCAGAATGAACTTTGCCCTTGGTTCGGAATGCAAAGAGCAGTATAAAAATATTTTACTGCTCAAGCACCATATATACAGAGAAGCTGTTCTACTGATATATTGCTATAACGTCCCTCTAAATATAGTTACAGGTAGGTAGCCGTGTTGGTCTGCTGTAGTCGAAACAAAATAAAAAAATTGTTTCCAGTAGCACCTTAGAGACCAACTAAGTTTGTTATTGGTATGAGCTTTTGTGTGCATGCACACTTCTTCAGATACACTGAAACATCTAAATATGGTGAAGGCATAGTCTGGAATAGCAAAGCCAGAAATGCTTTTCTAAACAAACTAACTGATAAATTATGTGGATAATGCTCAACTCCATGTGTTAATTTAAGGAAATGCAAACATGGAGACAAAAATTATTCATTGAATTAATTCATTGAATTCTTCTCTCTCTCTCCCTCTTTAAGCAAAGGATCAATCAATCAGTCAATATAGGGTATATCATTACCTTCATCTTCATCTTCCAGCTGAGCTTTCGATTCTCTTGGGTACATAGCTCTTCGGAGAGTCTTCCTTTCCAGGGTGGTCTGGTCAGCTTCCATATCCTACAATCAAGGTTTCAAAAATGAAACTTCTGCAAGGACTACTTAGGTGAGACGTAGGAAGCTTCAGGTTGGGGAGCCAAATGCAACTTTCCAGGCCTTTCTAACCTCACCAGACTAGGCTCACTGCCCCTGGTGCTTTTAAGTGCTTTTGGCTGGTTAGAATGTCCCCTTGAAATGGGATAACCATAGAACTGAAGGGTTGGAAGGGACTCCAAGGATCATCTAGTCAAACCCTCTTACTTGGAGGCTGGATCTGCTGCCCCTGTGGATCTGCCACCTGAGGTGGACGTCTCACCTTGCCTTTCGGGTGGGCCAACCCTGGCCAGAACAATAGAGAACAGAATGGACAGCGGTGAGGGGTAGTTGTTCCCCAAGAATTGGAGCGAATAAATGACATTTCCATAACGGAACGAGGAATGCTGTGTATTCTGACTATCTGGTGTGCAGCTAGCAGCTAACTCTGGTGCTAAGTGCATTTTAGACTGGTTTTCTGTAGACTCCAATCCTTTGTGAAATGTGGTAGCCAAGAATGGACAAAACACATCAACCGATCATCTGTTGACGAATTCCTGAAGTGACATTCTGGGTAGAAATGCTTTCATGTGTGAAGCAAGCACAAAAGCCACGTTTGGATGGCAAAAGAGGAAAGGAGTTCTGCTCCCCCTTAAGGAAACACCACCTGATAGGTCAATAAAAAGGTAGAGGACCCCTGACAGTTAAATCCAGTCACGAACAACTCTGGGGTTGCGGCGCTCATCTCGCTTTACTAGCCAAGGGAGCTGGCTTATGTCCGCAGACAGTTTTTCCGGGTCATGTGGCCAGTAGGACCAAGCCGCTTCTAGCGAAACCAGCGCAGCACACGGAAACACCGTTTACCTTCCCGCCACAGTGGTACCTATTTATCTACTTGTATTTTTGGTGTGCTTTTGAACTGCTGGGTTGGCAGGAGCTGGGACCGAGCAACGGGACCTCACCCCGTCGAGGGGATTCGAACCACCGACCTTCTGATCGGCAAGCCCTAGGCTCTGTGGTTTAACCCACAGCGCCACCCGCGTCAATATGGTGTGCCAAATATGGATCCACAGCTTGTCTTGAATGGAGCTCTGCTGTTTGCGTTACCTTTTCCAGTTCCTGATCTTGGCGATTCATCAGCGTTTTCCAGTGTTCGTAGAGTTCGACATCTTTAGTTTGGATGTCCTTCAGGGTCCCTTCTCTAAGCACGGTGCCATCCTTCATGGCAATGATCTGAGGAGAAAGAGAAGGAAGGGGCAAGGGCCATAGCTCAATTGGCAAAGCAAATCCTTTACGTGCAGATGGTCACGGGTTCAAATTCTGGCTTCTCCAGGTAGGTCTGGGAGAGACTCCTGCCTGAAACCCTGGAGAGTCACTGCCGGCCAGTGTAGACACTATTGAACTGGAAGGACCAATGGTCCTACTCATTATAAGGCAGCTTTCTAGGTTCCTAATGTTGTGCTGCTTTGGAAATTCAACAACCCAAGGGATGGGTGAGTGTGCAAATTTTACTTTCTCTCAATTTCCCATTTCCCTAATCTCAAGTTAACCACATTTCTGCATTTAAGCCACATTAATTTGAGTTTTGCTTTTTAAAAAAATCCTTATGAAAAATTGTCTGCACATTGGTGTGCATTTCTCTTAATACACACACGTTATATGCAGATTTCTCTAATATGCATATTTTGCAAGTCATGTCCCCTAATGTAATGCTTTTTTTTTGCACGGATACATGCATTTTTATCCGTTCTTTTCTATCCGTTCCCTATTTTGGGTGGGGGTGGAGAACTGCCCTGCAAAATTTGGAGATGCATGAATATCAAGGGAGGCCTGCCTTTCAGTTTGTACATTATTTCAGGAAAGGTGAATTAGGCAAGGGCATCTTTTCACTGCACTTCTCCCCCACCTCTCAACAACATATATAATTTGGTCCTTCAGCAAGTTTCCAATTAGACCCATTCAGAGCCTTAGCACAAAATCAGATATACAGAAAACAGCGTCTGGAAAACAGATTGCGTGCTTCCTGCCCCATCTGGACTGTGCTATCACTGCTGACCTTGATGACCCAGCAATTGCTCTATGATTCCAGACTACCAGGAGATTAGCATGGTCTGCTCATGGGTTACGTGCAGGGACTGGATGTGCTAAATCAGCACACTAGAGCCCTGAGATGATCCGGCCTGAAACCAGCATCGTTTCTCTTCAACGGATGGTCTTCTTAACCAGTTATCTGAGCAGGAGGATCTCTCCAACCCTGAAAACTTTGTAAGTGAAGGCAGTGTGGTTCATTGGTTACGAGCATCAGACTAGGACCTAAGTGACTAGAGTTCGAACCGACACTCAGTCATGAAGCTTTACTGGGAGACCTTGGACCAGCCATTGCCTCTCAGCCAAACCTACCTCAGAGGGGTATTGTGGGGATTATATGAGATGGGGGAGGACCACACATGCTACCTTGAGCTCCTTGAAGGAAAAAGTGGGGTATAACTGCAATAAACAAATAAGGATGAATTCCAAGCGTCAGACATGCATTCATAAGAGCATGAGAAGCTGCTGGATCAGCTAAGTGGCCCATCTAGTCCAGCATCATGCTTTTGCAGTGGGCACATGGATCATGTGCTGCTTGCTAGCTTCACAGGGGTCTTCTTCTTCTTTCTTCTTTGGCGATCACTCGTAGCCGAGTAAGATTGTCTTCCATGAACACAGTCTTAACAGTGAGTCCGTAAGTGACTGTGGAGGCCAATTCTGGATCTACGCGTCCTTCCACAGTGGGGACCTAGATTTCTGGGCGGGAGTTGATCATGGTGAGGGTTTGCCAAGCGTGCCTTCCTCCTAGCACGTTTCTCCCTTGCATCCTGAGTTTGAGCGTCTTCAAAGCCCATGACACCTTTGGTAAAGGCTGTTCTCCAACTGGAGCGTTCGCAGGCCAGTGTTTCCCAATTGCTGGTGTTTATACTACATTTTTTAAGATTTGCCTTGAGAGAGTCTTTAAACCTCTTTTGTTGACCACCAGCATTACGCTTTCCATTTTTAAGTTCGGAATAGAGTAGTTGCTTTGGAAGACGATAATGAGGCATCGGCATAACATGACCAGTCCAACGAAGTTGATGTTGAAGAATCGTTGCTTCGACACTGGTGATCTTTGCTTCTTCCAGTACACTGACATTAGTTCGCCTGTCTTCCCAAGTGATGTATAAAAATTTTGGGAGACACCATTGATGGAATCTTTCAAGGAGTTGCAGATGGCGTTTATAAGTGGTCCATGTCTCACAACCATACAGTAAGGTTGGTAGTACAATAGCTTTGTAAACAAGCATTTTGGTTTCCCTGCGAATTTCCCGGTCCTCAAACACTCTGCACTTCAATTGGGAGAAAGCTGCACTCGTAGAGCTCAGGCAATGCTGGATTTTTGGCATCAATGTTGCCCTTGTGGAAAGATAACTGCCCAGGTAGGAGAAGTGACCAACATTTTCCAGGTAAAGGGGTGATGTCAGAGTCTTGATGGGACCTCCAGTGCATACTCCAGTGCAGCCTAGGACCCACATACCTATGGGACCGCCTCTCCTGGTATGCCCCGCAGAGGACCTTAAGGTCCACAAACGACAATATTTTGGAGGTCCCAGGTTGCAAGGTGGTTAGATTGGTCTCAACTAGGGCCAGGGCCTTTTCAGTACTGGCCCCGACTTGGTGGAACGCTCTGTCACAAGAGACTAGGGCCCTGCGGGACTTAACATCTTTCCGCAGGGCCTACAAGACAGAGCTGTTCCGCCTGGCCTTTGGTTTGGACTCAGTCTGACCCTTATGTTTACCTCCCCTTATGGTCTGGATTTATTGGCTATTTTAAAATGAGGCTGCATTTTAAATTGCATTTTAACCTGTATTTTAAATTGGTGTTTTCTCCCCCTCCCTTCTTTCCCCCCTATTATGTTTTTACTGTGATTTTATTGGTGTTAGCTGCCCTGAGCCCGGCTCTGGCCGGGGAGGGCGGGGTATAAATAAAAATTATTATTCGCTGGACCATAAAGAAGGCTGATCGCCGAAGAATTGATCCTTTTGAATTATGGTGCTGGAGGAGACTCTTGAGAGTCCCATGGACTGCAAGAAGATCAAACCTATCCATTCTGAAGGAAATCAGCCCTGAGTGCTCACTGGAAGGACAGATCCTGAAGCTGAGGGTCCAATACTTTGGCTACCTCATGAGAAGAGAAGACTCCCTGGAAAAGACCCTGATGTTGGGAAAGATGGAGGGCACAAGGAGAAGGGGACGACAGAGGACGAGATGGTTGGACAGTGTTCTCGAAGCTACCAGCATGAGTTTGACCAACTGCGGGAGGCAGTGGAAGACAGGAGTGCCTGGCGTGCTCTGGTCCATGGGGTCACGAAGAGTCAGACACAACTTAACGACTAAACAACAACAACTATTATTATTATTATACTCAAACTATGGAACTCACTCCCCTGGGAGGCAGTGATGACCAACTCGTGGGTGGCTTTAGAAGAGGATTAGACAAATTCACAGAGGAGAGAGCTATCAATGGCTACTAGCCATGATGGCTGTCCTACCTCCACAGTTGGAGGCAGCGATGCTTCTGAATACCACTCGCTGGAAACCAGGGGAGGAAAGAGGGCTCTTGTGCTCATGTTCTGCTCCCTGGTTTCCCCCAAGTTGGCCACTGGGAGAACAGGATGCTGGACCAGATGGGCCATTGGCCTGATTCAGCAGAGCTGTTCTTATATTCTTAGTTTGATACGTAAGAAAATCCGGCAATGTTTGGACTATGCAGAATTGGACAAAATGACAGGAAGGATTCGAAACCTGCGGGACCAGAGATTTACAGAAGTATATGAATTATTTGAAGAGCAACTGTAGTCAACAAATTACGCTAGTAGGACTGCAGGAAGTTTTGTAAGGAGAAATATACGAAGTGTTACAAAGTAGGAAAAGACAGAGATATTGGTTATGAGTTTGAAATGCAATAGGGAAGATAAGAAATGCATACTGAGGGACTAGATTGTAAAATTTTCAGACAGGATTGATGGAAGTCAAAAAAATTGAATAAGATGTAAAAGTATGTTTAATTACTGTTGAAAATGATGTTAAAAAAGGTAATAAAAATTTATATATATAAAAAAGAAAATTCAGCAATTTTTTTTTTTGAAAGTCCACGATGCATACCCAATCCGCGTGTGGCAGGTACTGCAATTTATGAGTCACCAATACAAGCGTCCTTTTGTCATCCTTAAGAAACTTCAGGATGCCTTCTTGCATCAGGTGATCACTCAGGTGAATGTCCAAGGCAGAAAATGGGTCATCCTGGAATTAAATATATGAAAAGAGGGCATTTTGAAACCAGGCTAAAGCATAATACTTGCACATCTTGATATCCCAAAACAATGTGCTCTCGGGGAAATCATCTGTTAGGCAAATGTTCACATACCAAGTCAACCATTTCCATTGATTCCTATGGGGAAATTTCTTCTACGTTCCCAATGGCAGAATTTTGAAGACCAAATGATGGGGAAACATGGGGAAACGATCTGAAATCTTTCAAAAGGCAAACAAGGAAGGGGGGAGCTCTCTTATTTGTCTAATCCCTCCCCCCTCCCTCCCTTGTTTCTGGCAAAATGGCTGCCATGGACCAGTAAAACACAAAAAGTAAGGCTTGTCAAAGGTTGATTTAAAACAAACAAATAAACAAAGCAGTACTGCATGAATGTCCAGCTGTTGGGTATGTGAATCTGTGGTGTGTATAGCATGCTTATACACTCCTTGCGAATTTTCACACAAAAGGCATTTGGATAGCACAACCAAAAATTCTAAAACAAAAACAAAAACAAAACAGAATTAAAACTGAAGAAATATGAAAAAAGCCTTACCAGGAACACAATGTTGGTGTTTTGGTAGAGAGCCCGAGCGACACAGATTCGTTGGCGTTGACCTCCGCTCAAGTTAATTCCCTAATGGGTATGACAGGCCATGCAAAATTATTTCTCTTGAGTAAGTACCAATGACATCTGATTTGCCAAAGCCTTGAAATAACCAGTTTCTAAAATTAACCCCTCACCCTCAAAAACGCCTTCAAATTTATGTAATGATGTGTTATATTAAATATTAGGTCTGTTGGTTGCCAAACCTAGATGACAACTAAGATACAAAGTGCATCTCAGAAATCAAATACGGAAGAAAGTGTCCCAAAATTATTTGTAAGCTGTAAATGCCCTCTTTTGTGAAGGCAGATGACAGAATGTTTTTATTATGTGGACCTGAACAAAATAAAGCCAACATCCATACAGGTAAAATATCATAACAGAAAAATAAATTAAAGTGGATTGTAATACATAAAAGATATAAAGTATCAGGAATGTTTAAAACAAGTCTAAAATAAGATATAAAACTTGATACCTTAAAATATGAAAGTTAAAAGTGAGTTAAAATAATTGACAACAATAATGCCAGATTATGCTATTATTATTAAAATTATAGATTAATAATGGTAATGTATGAGAACAGCAACCAGACGGGGATAGGTTCAGCCTGGGGAGATTTCCTTTCTGTGTTTTTGCAGCCAGAAGGTAAATCTAGCCACAGTCACTGTTAATAATTTGTTCTAATCTGTCCAGAGGTAGGCCAGATAGCATTCAGAAGTCCTACCTGGAAATTTTGAGACAAAAGAAGTCACCAATCTGATTCGGTTCTCTGAATAGAAATTACAGGCAAAAAGCATATGAGCCAAGGGTTGTATATGTAAACAGTTAAGGGGTACCCTCAAACTGTCCAATCCAGCAGAGGGCAAGCAATTAAACCTAGCTTTAGTGAAAACCCAAAACAGTATTTGAGAATAGTTAAATTCTCCAAGTATCTAGCATGGCTTCCTGTAGCGTTCCCAAAGCAAGGAAGGATTGGACTCTGATGAATAAAATACACACGAGGCATGACCAGCAAGACTCTGGGAGGAGGTGCCAATAATAATCTTGTCCACCCCTTGGCCCAGGTTGTTTTATTCACAAAAGAACTTTTTACACAGTGTTCGTAAGAACCAATCAGATTTCCTCTGAGCTTTTCAAAAAAACCCACGTGGGACAAAGTTAAAGTTAAAACTACAAAGAAACTATTTCCTACTTGAGCATAGTAGTCCAAAGTAAATAAAATAGGAATAAAGGAGGAATGTTTTTAGGAAAACCCCGGAGGTCATAAACAGGAATAAACGGGAGAGGTAGGATGGCAGTATTTACCATCTCCTTGTGAACTCTCTTCCTGGCCTTTAATATCTATCTAAAGATTAAACTACATCAAAGCTACCTTCTATCTTTATGACCCAGGATGCCTGGTGAAGCAACTGGCCTGTGCATTTAGAATGCTTATATGTGCCTGTCAGGCAGAGAAATAGGACATAGATGCAGAGGCATGGGTTGATCAGAAATCATATCAAAATGGCTCAACGCCCAGTCAACGCAATGCTTTCATTGCTGACACAAATGGCCTGCTCCATATTTTTTTTAAATTCCTCCTAGCGATCCCACCTGATCACTACAGCTTCCTGACATCGGGGCAAAGAAAAAACCCAGATAGATTTGGAGGCAGGAAACCATTCAGGCAAAGGACACAGAATACCAAATATCAATGCCCTTAATCCAGAAAGCAATAATGGATTTCACCTGACGATTGCCCAGGGTAGACCAAGGGGTTTATGGAAAAACTTAGAAATTGTAATTTGTTGAAAAGGCTTTTAAGGTTTTGAATGTTGTCGAGGGCGCACCTGCCGGTGAATGTAAAGACCTCAGACGGGGCCAGCCCTATCATTTGGCAAAGTGAGGCAGCAAAATATGGGTGCCCTGAAAAGGCAGCACATTGCTGGTTACTTAATACATTATTGTAATCGTTTTTACTGCCAAGGATTAGGAAAGGCACGTGTGGGGCTTCCTCCTGCCTCAGGTGCCAAAATAACTTGGCTGGCCTTGGATAATAATGCACTTGGGCTTGAGCCCAGGGGAGAGGGGCGCCATTTGCTGCTCTGCCTCAGGCAGCAACATTTATTGGGCCAGCCTTTGCCCTGGTAAGACAAAGAAATCATGCCCCAATAACTGACAGGGGGGTGCTTCTGGACTGCTGAGTGTTGCGGGCACAGAGGCTGCTTCTGCTGAAAACCAGCTTGTGCTGATGTCATTACTAACAACAGCTGTGATCATGGATCCACTTGGACCAAGAGCATAAGCACAAATTCCTCATGCTTTGTTTACCCTTTCTCCAATTTCGGTCTGGTCTCCAAATGGCAATAGATCGATGTCAGGCTGCAGAGAACACGCATCTGTGACGGCTTTGTACCTGTTGAAGGAATAGAATAAACTTGATGCGCACAAAGGGATCTCTGGGCAGGGCCAGTGCAAAGACAGGAAGCTGATTTGAACTAAGTTACATCATTGCATCCATCGAGCTTGATACTGTCTGTGCTGAATAACAGCAGTTCTTCAGGATTTCAGGCAAGATCTGTCCCAGCTGTACCTGAACCTGCTGGCAACTGAACCTGGGGTCTTCTGTATGCAGATTACAGTGGTACCTCAGGTTAAGTACTTAATTCGATCCGGAGGTCCGTTCTTAACCTGAAACTGTTCTTAACCTGAAGCACCACTTTAGCTAATGGGGCCTCCTGCTGCCGCTGCGCTGCTGGAGCACGATTTCTGTTCTCATGCTGAATGACTACAGTTCTTCAGACTTCAAGGTAATATTTCTGGGTTAGCGGAGTCTGTAACCTGAAGCATATGTAACCTGAAGCGTATGTAACCCGAGGTACCACTGTATTTCCTATTCCACTGAGCCATGAGGCAATGGGGAAAGTTTATGGTCACAGCCTGACAGACGCTAGCAGAGCTAATAGCAATTTTTTTCATCTTGTTTTCGTGGCCTGTGCTTGACTGCAGGCTGGACTTAGGTCTGGATTTTACTCCTAGGCAAAGAAGCTTCCAGACTGTCGTCAGGTGATTGACACAGGTGAGTGACTCTGGGGTTTGTGTGCAAATCAGGAGCTGGTCCATTGCCTGGATCCAGTTCCCCACTCTTTGCAATATAAGTGCAAAGGTTTGAATTATGGGTTCTCTCTGTAGATGCATGATCTCAACATCACAATTCGTGAGACAACAGGGAAGACTGGGCTGGAGGTGGGAGGGAATACCTTTTTTGCTCATATTTGTCATTTCACACACAGCTTTATTGTGGTCCATAGACCCAAAATACAGAGTACAACAATAGTATATAGTCATTTCAGTGGCACTGGGATGGGAAGATTTCCTGATGAATTGCCCCCATCCTCCAAATTAGCAGTTGCCATTCTCCAACTAAAAATCCCCATTGGGAATCTTTACGGCTTTGCTCTTCCATCTTCCTTACCTGAGCAAAGAGCAGGAAGAAGTGTGGCTGTTAGAAGCATTATTCCCTTACCTCTGTTTATTAAATGGGCTGCCAAAGGTGATGTTTTCCTCCACCGTAGCATTGAGGAGCCAGGGCTTCTGGGCCGCATAAGCCACAGAGTATCGGTTCCTGGTGGGAGAGGTGAGTGCGTTAGGAGCAGTGGGCAGGCAGAGCTTCTCCCGCACATAGTTTATAGCAAATTGGTAAGAGAGAAAGATGCACGCAAGAGAAAAGCAGCTGTTATAACAAGAGTGAAAGGAGGGGAAGTTTTTTTCCAGGAGAAGGTTACGTTAAAGGAGCACCCATCCCTGCCACTGCTTTTTCTTCCTATGATGAACTCCAAGTAAAAATGTGTACCACATGTGCTCTATTTATACTAATTGCCCACTCTGATGCTGGGCTCTCCAATGAACATGCGCCCAATCAATGTGTTCTTTACAAGCAGGGTCCAGTATGATTTCAAATTGGGAGACAACGTGTTGAGATTCCTGCATTGCAGGAGGTTGGAACAGATGATCCTTGGGATCTCTCCCAACTCTGCATGTGATGGCCTGGAATTCAGACTCAGAGGCTGAACCTGAGGAATCCCAGCCTGCACAGGTGTCCCCGCCTCCAGAACCAGCTGAGCCAGGGCTGGGGCCTGAGCCTGAAGGGTCCTCACCTGCGCTGGATCCTCAGGTGCAGGCACCAGCTGAATCTGCTCTGGCCCCTGAGGTGATGGAGGACCCATTGCCTGCAGGTGCTCCACTCTCAGCCCCGTCAGGGGAAGAGGAGGTTGCCTCTGGGTCCGGTAACCCTCCAGCCTCTCCTGAGCTGCAGAGGCTCAGGGCAGAAAGGTGGAGGGAACTAAGTTCCTGCAGGAGGAGTGCTCGCCTCCAGGCCAGGAGAGGCGAGTCACCTGTGGACCGGGGCTGCCCTATGCCTCGGGGCAAATGAAAGCCAGTCAGCCCCAGTCCCAGGTTGCAGGAGCAACGTTGTTGCTAGCCTGTTCCTGCCTGCATCCTGTCCTGCTCTTCTGCCAGAGTTCCTGACTCCTCCTGACTCGGACCCAGCTACAGCTTTGATGGCCAGCCTCCACACCGCACCATCGACCTCGGACTGGATTCGGACCTTGCCTCTCGGTTAGCCCCCGGGATCCGCACACTGCAGTTCTATGATTCTATCAAGTTGAACTCCAGCTGCATAGATTCCACCATCTAAGCATAGACATCAGGTTCCGTAGAATTGCACATATGTTGGAGCATGCACAGGAGGCTAGTCAAAGACAGAAGCTCTCAATGGTGCCTTTGTGAACTCCAGCCATCAGTGGCCACTTCTGTGTTGGCCTTAGCAGACACCTAAGCGAGATAACTGCCAAAAGAAAGCTCAGCATGCTGGGCTGCAGAAGAGAAATGCAAAACAGCGGGCGGGATGCCTTGCTCAAATGGCTGGTTGGAACCGTGAACAGGAACACTCTTGTTAGGAGGGAGAATATACTGCAACATTTTGTTGCAGGTCCCACCTGTAACATTAATGTTCCATCCATTTTCAGTGATAGATCTCAAGGCTCTGTACACAGGATTCCCAGGTGGTAAATAAGATAAAGGTAAATGACCCCTGGATGGTTAAGTCCAGTCAAAGGTGCCTATGGGGTGCGGCGCTCATCTCGCTTTGCAGGCCGAGGGAACCGGCGTTTATCCACAGACAGCTTTCCAGGTCATGTGGCCAGCATGACTAAACCGCTTCTGGTGCAACAGAACACTGCGACAGAAGCCAGAGTGCACGAAAATGCTGTTTACCTTCCCACCGCCGCAGCAGTATCTATTTATCTACTTGCACTGGTGTGCTTTTCAACCGCCAAGTTGGCGGGAGCTGGGACAGAGCAATGGGAGCTCACCCCGTTGCGAGGATCAGCAAGCCCAAGAAGCTCAGTGGTTTAGACCACAGCGCCACCCACGTCCCTATTCCCAGGTGACCTCCTACTGAGATATGGATCAGTCCCAGACCTCCTTCGCTTCAACAAAACTGCAGCATCAAGTGCTTTCAAACCATGCCCTGCAGCCTACATACAACGTTTCCTTCCAGGTATGTACTGAAGAGGAAAATCAGCATGGTTTGCAAGCTGCCTTTTGGATTAGCTTAGCTACCATTATTGACCTCATGGAACAGGGACAGTCAATGCTGTGCCCTCCATATGTTGTTGGACTACACTGTAGTCACTGACCAATGACTTTAGGCAGCATAGCCAAAAGTCAGAGATGATGGGATTTGTAGTCCACCAACATCTGGAGGGCATCACGTGGACTACCCCTGTAATAGAGGAACCCCTGATAAGCTTCAAAGGAACCCAAGATGGAGCAAATGGCAGTTTGGAAAACTCCTGATGCATCATAGCATTTAATGATGAGCATATAATAGTCTTTAATATTTGACAGTATTTAACAGCTGGCATGCATTAAAAAAAATCTGTCAGGACTTGATAGATAACGTGCATTGGTATTAGTATCTGCCAGCATTCTAATAAGTTGCATGCAATAGAGATTAGTATTTGACATTTGACAACTTAGGTGATTTCTTCTCCGGTCAAAATCAATACTATCAAATTAAGCCATTGTGTCATTTGAATGTTGCAGTTAAAATGCCACATTCAAAACGCAACTACAAATTCAAATCTTGAATTCAAAATTCCTCATTCAAAATATGTATAACAACTATGGGAAACGCACAGCATTTGGGGGGGGGGGGATGCTGGCATTTGTTTCTTTTAAAAAGTGCTGCTACGTTCCATCACAATAGGTTTTCCACAAGTTCCACCGGCAGTTTGATAAAAGAGATATGGGTGCTGTGAAAACTGCGTGTTAGTTAGAAGCATTTAATGTAAACTTAGCAAGTTTCCACATTACAGGAGTTTAGAAGGCACAAAAATGTGATGGGCAATGTTAATTTCCCTTAAGTTATCAGGTATCTGATAACACAGTGGTTCCCAATTGATGCCACAAGAACTACCAGTAGAAGCTGAAATGAAAATTCATCTTAGTTCATAGTGAATGTCTGTGCAATCCTATGCAGGTCTGCTCAGAAGCAAGTCCAATTGAGTTCAATAGAACTTACTTTCTGGTCAGTTGATAATAGGGTTGCTGCCTGATTCACTGAAACTTGGGAATGAAACTCGAAGAATCATGAAAGGTTGTTTATGTGAAGAAGGATAAGGAAGAGAGGGCTGGTTTGTTCCTCTATCCCATGAAGTCACTGGTTCTTGGGGGTCTTAACTGTCCAAACTGGGTCTTAAAATTTCTTGTGGCTCGTATTCAGATATTTACTTGACCAGGACATTAAACCCACCCCACCACCCAAAAAAGATTGGGAACCACTGCATTGGAGAAGTTTACTAGTTAATATTCTCTAGCAAAGTGTTGTAACTGGGGTAAGGAAACAAGGAGTTGGTTGTAGAAAAGGGAGGGATTCAAAAAGAAGAAGATTCAAGAATAATACCTCCGGCTGGCTTCAAAAGAAGACTCACTTTCATATCCACTGCAAGTTATGGTAAACAGTATTTTAGTGGTAGTTGGTGAAAAGATAACAGCAACGAGGTGAGCAAATTTCACATACTTGGGAGAAATATTTGAAAGCAATAAACTCCTGATGCTGAAGAATAGGGGGGAAGACATTTGCGTCTGCAAATCAGAACACCACTCAGCTGCAACTGTAACAAGATACTGGTAGAAATTCTGACCAGTTTTGCACAGTTTCCATTCTGGAGCCCCACCAGCAACTAGTACAGTGGTACCTTGGGTTAAGAACTTAACTCGTTCTGGAGGTCCGTTCTTAACCTGAAACTGTTCTTAACCTGAGGTACCTACCACTTTAGCTAATGGGGCCTCCCACTGCCACCGCACGATTTCTGTTCTCATCCTGAAGCAAAGTTCTTAACCTGGGGTACTATTTCTGGGTTAGCGGAGACTGTAACCTGAAGCGTCTGTAACTTGAAGCATCTGTAACCTGAGGTACCACTGTACAATTAAATCCAACATGCTACACACTGGGCAAGCATTTACATCCATGTGTGTGTGTTTGTACAAGCTCCAAGAGTGGCTATAATTGTTGTTGTTGTTGTTGCATCTCATGGGATTTGAGATTTTTGACCCTCCATGGGATGTCATAAAAAGTACTTCAGGATCCCATGCACTCAATTCATCTTTACTGAGATATCAAAAAGAGATCTCACTCACATGAGATCCTAAGGACTAACTTTTTATGGGATCTCCAGATCTGGGTCAATATTCCTCATGATAGGCAAACCTCTCACACTCTTTGAAGATTGCTGACAAAGAGGAGAGGGCGCTCCTTGCAAGGGTTGCAGGAGACAAACACGGGACACTTCCAGACTACTTTTTTTTGGGTGGGATTCAATCACATGCTGGCAAATTCAGGTCATGCAATTACAGTTGCTTGAGAAGGTCTTGCACAACAAACCCGCTTCCCTAAAAGCTCAGGCTTTTTGCAGTAAGGAAAGTGATGGGGGAAATGCAATGAAAAGTGTGGGGTGGCATTTGCTTTGTGCAACACCATATATCCTCCCCACAAACAAAGCAGAATGAACGCTCATTAAATCGCCAGCATTGTCGAATCTCCCTGCAAGCAAATCGGGTTGGGTGCTCAATAAACAAGTCATATGGAAGCAGCCTAAATTTCTCTGCAATTCTTTATTTCTGTGGTCCTGTGGAAACCAAATGTTCTTTGGTTTCTTTATGAATACAGCAAACTTTTGTTACACCCAACTGTGAATTTAGTTTTCTGGCATGCTTATTTCAAAGTCCCACATCATAGTTTTGAACACCTGTTGGGAGGAAAAATACCTTTTCATGTAAGACGTAGTCTCCCTCCCCAGTTTCTTATCCTTCCCCACCCCAGACCCCAAATTCCTTTAAAGACATGTAAACAGCATATTCATGCAAATGACAATGGTGCTAAGTATGGCTTCACAGCTTAATATTAATGAAGGTCAATGCTTCACTGCAACAAGCAATGGGTTGGGCAGGCTAAAATCACACCTGGTAGATGGAAACACATATAAGAAGGAGAAAGCGTCATTGTTAATTAATTCACGACTGCATGGATATGGACTTTAAAAAAACACATCCCAAGAGCATGAGGCAAAGGTTTAGAACAACGGAAGAAGGAGCAACAGCTGAAGCAAGACATATACAGTCGTACCTCGGAAGTCGAATGGAATCCATTCTGGAAGTCCGTTCAACTTCCAAAACATTTGAAAACCAAAGCGTGGCTTCTGATTGGTTACAGGAAGCTCCTGCAGCCAATCGGAAGCCAAGGAAGCTCCGCTGGATATTTGGCTTCCAAAAATAGTTCACAAACTGGAACACTCACTTCTGGGTTTGCGGCGTTCGGGAGCCAAAACGTTTGAGAACTAAGCTGTTCGAAAACCAAGGTACGACTGTATATACACACATTAACTGAATCCTGCTAACCTCAGGGTCATGTTTCTAGAGTATTAGCTGGTTGAGAAACCTGGCATCCCATGCTCAAATGAAGGAATGAGTTTTCATCAGAAGGTGGGGAGTTTTCTCTCAGAAAGGCAGAGATTCTTTCTTGTTCAGTTAGCCATTTCCCCATTCAGCAGAACAGGTTCATAAATTTTGGGGTTTTGTGGATGCCACAAGCTCGTGCAGACATGGGCACTGAGATACACACAAAGCTGCTCCCTCTGTTGAGGTGAAGGGAAAAGTCCTCTGTACAAAAACACAGGCCATAAGTCAGAAAGCCACTGGGTGGGCTCTTGATATCGACCACACCAACCCTTCCTGATAGGACAGGTGTGGTGTGGAAGATGCAGCAGGATATGACCTTCTTGCGTTGCTCAGAAGATGGAGATCATGGAGGAGAACATCTATGGTGCAACTTCTATTCATAACAGGGCTGCTCCCTCTACAGTGGTTCTCAGCCTGTGGGTCCCCAGATGTTGTTGGACTACAATTCCCATCATTCCTAGCCAGCATGACCAGTGGTCAGGGATGATGGGAGCTGTAGTCCAACAACATCTCGGGACCCACAGGTTGAGAACCACTGCTCTAGAAACTAGGGCAGGGGGATATCTTTCTATTTTGAGGGCCACATTTTCTCGAATTAACCTATCAGGAGCAGACATGGTTGTGATGAGTGGCACCAGAACCCAAAGTGGCCTGGGCCGCCTTGTTTTCTCTCTCTACTACCACTTTGTCCTCTTTCCCCCACTCTCAAAATCCCTTCTCTTCCTTCCTTCTGGGGAAGCGGAGGCAGGCTGCTTTTGCCAGAGACTTGCACTGATCACTTGCAGTTTCCATCAGCCTCGGACAACATGGCTGATGCTCAGGGACAGTGGGGAAATTGTAGTCTTGAGGCCCACATGTTCGCAACCCCTGACCCACCTAGTCTGTGTTTGTCTATTCTGAATGACAGAGGGTCTCAAAGGTCTCAGGCAGAGTCCTAGCCCCTGTTAGGATATTCCGTTCCACCTTAAGTTCAGCCATGACTGTTGTGTGTCACATGCCTGTTTACACTCCAGCACAGCTTGCTGAGAACTTCCATTTTGAGTATAGCTATTGCTTATGCTGCTTGCTTGGACATGAAGGGGAGAAGACATGTTTTTCCTTTTGTCCTGATGTACGCTGAATAAACTGCTTGTAAATATGCTCATCACAGCCTCTCCCTGCCGCTTCTGTTGTGTAGCGTTTACTCTGCTATTAGAGCATGCTCCAGCTTCTAAAGCTGGGGTCGCTGACACTGAACCAAGGACTGGAGATCGCCCCGCGTATCGGCCGGTGGGCTGGTGCCAGCTGTGGGCTTGCAAATTGCCCCCGTTTCCTTGGCTGCATCCCAACAGCCCCGCTGTCTGTGATCTCAGTCGAAGATGCCAAGGATCAAATCTTCCTCAAGCAGGGTGTGCACTGCACAACATTCACTGGCAAGCTTATTTACTTTCCAGCTCCAAAGTCCTGAAGTAACATTCCCCTGTAAAACCTGCTGGCAATATACAGAAGGATGCTTGGAGATACTGGGCATACACATATTCTGTCCTCTGGAAATGCTTGACTCTATGAATTTAGCTCTTGTTGTTGTTTAGTCGTTTAGTCGTGTCCAACTCTTCATGACCCCATGGACCAGAGCACGCCAGGCACTCCTGTCTTCCACTGCCTCCGCAGTTTGGTCAAACTCATGCTGGTAGCTTCGAGAACACTGTCCAACCATCTCGTCCTCTGTCGTCCCCTTCTCCTTGTGCGCTCCATCTTTCCCAACATCAGGATCTTTTCCAGGAGTCTTCTCTTCTCCTGAGGTGGCCAAAGTATTGGAGCCTCAGCTTCACGATCTGTCCTTCCAGTGAGCACTCAGGGCTGATTTCCTTCAGAATGGATAGGTTTGTTCTTCTTGCAGTCCATGGGACTCTCAAGAGTCTCCTCCAGCACCATAATTCAAAAGCATCAATTCTTTGGCGATCAGCCTTCTTTATGGTCCAGCTCTCACTTCCATACATCACTACTGGGAAAACCATGGCTTTAACTATATGAATTTAGCTCTAAGGTAAAGGTACCCCTGCCCGTACGGGCCAGTCGTGTCCGACTCTAGGGTTGTGCACCCATCTCACTTAAGAAGCCGGGGGCCAGCGCTGTCCGGAGACACTTCCGGGTCATGTGGCCAGCATGACGAAGCTGCTCTGGCGAGCCAGCACCAGCGCAGCACAGGGAAATGCCGTTTACCTTCCCGCTATAAAGCGGTACCTATTTATCTACTTGCACTTGGGGGTGCTTTCGAACTGCTAGGTGGGCAGGAGCTGGGACCGAAAGACAGGAGCTCACCCCGTCGCGGGGATTCGAACTGCCGACCATGCGATCGGCAAGTCCTAGGCACTGAGGTTTTACCCACAGCGCCACCCGCGTCCCAGCTGCTAGCTTCAGTACTACAAAAATCTTCATTTACTTCTCCAGATGTTTTTGGTGCTCTTTTCTAACCCTTATAAGATCAGTGGGCAAACTCAAGCATGCAGAATTATGTAGGAAGGGAATTATAGTAGGGATTTATTGTTATGTCACGGAACTGAAACCATTAGGGTTGTATTTGGTAATACCTGTAGGATTTTCCTGAAAACTCCTCTCTGTCAGGCTGTCTGAAATTACCAGCAAAACACAACCACATTTGTTTGTGCCAGGATTGGGAAAACATCAGGCTCCACAATATAACTGCATGCCCTCTTCATGGAAAAGCTTCTAGACCTCATAATCCCCAAATTAAATGTGTAATAAGGAAATATATTAAATAACTGGAATCAAGGGTATAGGTAAAAAACAAAAAAGGAACAAAGCAGTTATGTTCTTTTAACAGCTGTGACCTCTAAATCCATCTGTCAACTTTCCCCCCAGGGCTAACTCATAGATCAGTTCATTCATTAACCCTATAAAAGCACCAAAGTGAAGGAAATGACAAACATACCGGTTCCAATGAACTTTGCCTTCCAGAGCTTGCATCTCACCAAGAACAGCAAGAAGGAGAGAAGATTTGCCACAGCCAACCTGACCCACAATCATTGTCATTTGGCCTGCAAAGCAACAACGGACTAACATTAGACCCTTTGACCCACCAATAACTGAATGGTCTTGGTTGCTTTGATCATAACACGCATGAATGGTGAACGCTTGCATATATGAATTAGATGTTGATACTATTGATTGGCTGCTGTTTAATAGCTACAGTGGTACTTCTGGTTGTGAAGGGGATCCGTTCCAGAGCCCCTTCACAACCGGAAAAGAACACAACCCACGTCTGCGCATGTGCGGGTCATGATTCACCGCTTCTGCACATGCACGTGATGTCATTTTGCGCATCTGCACCTGCACGAGCAGCGAAACCTGGAAGTAACCCGTTCCGTTACTTCCGGGTTGCCGTGGGACACAACCTGAAAATGTGCAACCTGAAGCAAACGTAACTTGAGGTATGACTGTATTACCTTTTTTAGAATCTGCTGATTCTTTTCTTATTTGTCAGTTATAGAAGAAAGGAAAAGAGAGGAGAAGAAGAAGAGGAGAAAGAGGAAGAGGAAGAAGAAGAGGAGGAGGAGGAGGAGGAGGAGGAGGAGGAGGAGGAGGAAGACATGATTCTGCAGAATTTTGTCTCATTCATTTCAGTGTAACAGATTCCTGTTTCAGGAAGCTTTTAATGTTAGAGGCCCCCCCCCCTTTTCTAAATGTATTTTTGCTGGCAACCCAGTCAGATGGGAGGGGTATAATAAATTATTATTATTATTATTATTATTATTATTATTATTAGTATTAATATTAGTATTAATATCATAAGTAGGTTACCTAAAAGTCCCATGGAGTTCAGGAAGACTCCCAATTTAGTATGATTGCTGCTTTATAGTTCAATAAAACTTCTGAAGTAAGTTGCATGGAGTGTGACTTAATCCAAAGTAAGCGTGCATAGGATTGCAGGTGTTATCATATCTCCCATTAGCACTGGTGGTTTAAACACGCTTGACTTTTTATTAACAGACATTTGTGTTCATCTATAATCTCTATCTGTGTGCTTGCATGTTTGTACACATACTCAATAAACTAGGAGTGAGGAATCCGTTGTTGAACTACAGTTCCTATCATCTCTGTCCTTTGCCTGGGGCTGATGGGAGTTGGGATCCAACAACCTCTGGAGGGCCACAGCTTCCACACCCATCCTCTAAACCATCCTGCGGCTATGAGAGAAGGTATGATAAATGAAACGATGTTGAAAATGTGAGGCTATTAATTAATCATACCTGTGGGTATTCTGATATCAATATTGGATAATGTGGCTAAGCCACTTCCCCAGGAGAAGTACCCATTGGTTACCTGCAATAAATACCACATATTAGAACCACAAGAACATGCAACAATTATACTGTGCATGTAGGAATCCATATAAAATAATCAACTCTTACAAACTGTATTTTAATATTTTGTTGGAAGCCGCCCAGAGTGGCTGGGGAAGCCCAACCAGATGGGTGGGGTAAAAATAAATTATTATTATTATTATTATTATTATTATTATTATTATTATTAACTAAACTGACACTTGTGGCTTTGTTTCCCCATAATACTACCCCACGGTTTGTTAAACCATGATTAGCATGGTGTGTGAAGACGGCCCAGCAGCTTAACTGTGGTTTATTTATTACCAACAAGCCACAGTTTCTTTATTGATGCACAAACCTTAGTTTCTGTCAATTATGTCTTGGTGTTATGTGTGAACTCAGCACCCTGCCTTAACTATGGTTTGACTTTCAAACCCCAGACATTCGCCTTGCTAAAAAGTCATGAGGCAAGTTGGGAGCACTTGTTTGACTGAACTTTGGTGAAACAAGCCATGGTTTGCTTGATCATCTGTGGCAGAACTCGTGGTTTGTTAACCAAACCATGGCTTGGCATCATGTGAAAACCAGGCTGGCCAAAGATTTTTAAAAACCAGGAAAATGCCACAAGAGTAAGAATTACAAAGGAAGGAGGGGTTTTTTGGGGGGTATCTGTGTATTTCACATTAAACACTGGTTTCGAACTTTTTCAGCCTAACATATCATAAAGCACATAATAACAAGGGTACAAAAACAGTAACAGCTGGTAAAATACGTTTTATGCCATGCATGTCACCGGGGCATCAAAGGACACAATAATAACCCTGAGATGAAAAGTTGTTCTTTAAGAGAAAATGCAATCCCACCCAGAACATCACTTTCCTGGTTAGATGACCCACGCAACAACACAGTATCTGTCTTACCTGGCTTGAGCTTACACGCAATTCATTAATTAATGGATTAATTAATTGAACACCTGGCAGCGGATGCACTTAAAAAATAATTTGTTGGATGCCCTACTGAAAACGCAAGTCACCTTGATAGCGCAGTCATCAATGTCTAAATGACGGGTTGGAATCCTTAGAGGAGGCTCATAGCTGTCCAGCTGGTGCCTCAGCGGCTGCTTTCGATTTATGGCTTTGGAGGGCTAGGCAGGTCGACAGCAGGGAACAAAGAAGTAGAGACGTTTTGCAGAATGTTAACACAGTAAGATAATGCATGAAAGGTATAGAAGCTATGCATGGCAGTAAAAGAGGCATTTCCTCCTGCGTACAAAAGGAACAACCCTTCTAAGGCAACGCCGGCTGCAACAAATCTCCTCAAAACAAGGAAAGGGGCTTCTAAAAAACACTTTCAAGCTATTTTGTATCGCTGTATACATGGAGATTTAAATCAGCTAATCCCTCTGCTTGTTCATGTGTTAAAATGCCTTTCTGTGAAATCAAGAATGTCCATAACTATATGCAATAATCAAGAGGTTATTCAAAGTGTTATCTCAAGTTTTCAAAGATGCATTCCATTGATGCAAAAACATTCAGAGTGTGAGGCAGGGCCAGTGAGATGTGTGGCTTGGGGTTCCTTGCCCCTGCTTTAAATGTATACCATTTCACTGTGATCAAAATGTACCTTTTATAGCATTTCATTGTGTTGTTTTTAAGCAAAGGCGATGAACTGGGGCACCTCCGCAAGGCAGTTTGTTGCAGGTTCTGTGCCGTTGGTGTGCGCAAATATTTTTTTACAATGTCCGCACCACGGCATCCCCTTCAAAATGCCATCCTGTTCCCACTCCTCCCCCGTTTAATTTGAATTTGCAGTTTCTTTGGAAACTCTGACAAGTGAAGAATAGCCACAGAAGTGGTCCCAATTAAAAGGATGTGAAAATATGGGATAGGGTTTCAATGAGGATGAAGTTGTGTGGATGCTGCAAAAAAAAGGTGAATGCACGCATAAACAGCATCAAATACAAAATATCCTGCCATGTGCAAGAGTCCCGGGGTGAGCTGTAGGAATGGGAGATGGGGAATTCAATTCAGTTCAAACTTTAAAGTGAATCTGCCTACTTCACACTTTCTGCAACAATATGTGACCGAAACACAGCCATCTGCCAAAACTTGCACATCTCTGAATTGTGCAATGCAGTTTTCCAGCAATGTGTAAAAAAATGCATAAAAATGTGCATTAAAATGCATATACTGGTGAAAATGACATACAAAAATGCATTATACTGTGGGCAATTTATCTGCAAAAATGTGTATTGTGGGCAAAATTGCATACAAAGATGTGCACATTCAGGGGAAAATATTGCACTGGATGCTAATGAATTTTCATGAGGATTTTTTTTTTTACTATTGCAGACTGATGTGGAAAATGAGAAACCGTAATTAACAGATTCCCTTATCCCCAGTCACTAGTGTGCTTAGTTCAATTTTATAAAGAGAGAGGCACTTACAAGTCCCGTGTGCTTCTTGCAAGACTCGCATGTTAAGGCAGTATCTCCATTTCTCCAGCTGTCATCTCCAATTTCATCACTTATGAGAAATTCATTCAGTTTTTGCACACTGGGACAAGACATGGAAAAAGACAAATTGTTACAAGTCATAACAACACACTGAGAAACTACTGAATAACGATTACAACATCTTCATGGCATATGGTGTAATCCACTTGTTCCAACCGCATGTTTCTTGGCACTGTGACAGATGCTCTCTGGACAAACAGTTCATCACAGGGCCAGAAGCGCTCACAGACTGCGCCATTTCCAACTGAGAGTGGCGGTGCTGCAAAGATCCCACGATTATTTTCTCTCCAATGGGAAAAGAACATGTCTACACTTTAAAAGGAGGGATGTTCTGGCCCAGTCGTCATCATCCTAACCTTCTAAGTTGGGAATTTTGGTTCATATGGGGAAGAGCTCAAATGCAACCCTTCGTCACCTGAATTTGCACTCGGGTCCTGCCTGTGAGCTTCCCATAACAGGTCTCTGATTGGCCAGAATGCTGGGCTTGATGGCCATTCTTCTTATCTTAGTTTAAGCTGGTACAACCAAGGAAGAATTTTACCTAGCAGTGGACAAACTTTCTTCAGCTCGATTTAGAAATGGGTTACCCATTACGAATACGTTTGAAGAAGTCGAGGACCAGGGGGAGGACTTACTGAGATGATTCTTCAACATCAACTTCGTTGGACTGGTCATGTTGTGCGGATGCCTAATTATCGTCTTCCAAAGCAACTACTCTATTCTGAACTTAAAAATGGAAAGCGTAATGCAACAAAAGAGGTTTAAAGACTCTCTCAAGGCAAATCTTTTAAAATGTAGCATAAACACCAACAACTGGGAAACACTGGCCTGCGAGAGCTCCAGTTGGAGAACAGCCTTTACCAAAGATGTCATTACAGACTCACTATTAAAAATGTGTTTATGGAAGACAATCTTACTCAGCTACGAGTGATCGCCAAAGAAGATTACATTGGTTTAAAATTACCTTTCTATTTTATCCAAATTTCAGGCACTAATCTAGCTCAAACACACCTTTCCAAACACCCATAAAATGATATTTTTAAGGCTCTCGTGAGAAAACCTGGAACTCTCTCGTTTCCTGCTCTGAACTGGAGAACTTTGGCGGTGATAAAGCACACCTTATATTTGACAAGCTGCCAAGATGTGTGTTTTTGAGCCAGGCATTGCAAAACATGGCGACATCATTGGATTTACTGTGCTCTACCTAGGGGACTTCCAAACCGTTACTGTTTTGTTGGTGGGATTCAATTGCATACCAGCAAATCCAGTGAAATTAAGTGTAAAATTAAGTGTATATGGCATTGTTGCATAACAAACCCACTTCCAAAAGAATCTGGATTTTCTGCGGAAAGGAAAGTGATGAAAAGATGCACAGGAAAGTGTGGGGTAGAAATTGATTAGTGCAAAGTTGCACAACCTGCCTTCAAAATAAATCAGAATGAATGTTCAATAAGCAGCCAACACTGTATAGCCTACCCCTTGCAAACCTGGTGCAAAGAAATCAGGATGAATGTTCAATAAGCACGTTGATGGAAATCACCCTGGTCTTTCAAATGACCACAAATTCTTAATGGAGTTTACATTATCATAAGCTGAGATTCCCTCTTTAGTAGACTGCAATGGTGCATTTAAAATTCAAATGGGATTCATTCACAGAAACCCATAAAAGGTTGTCTACCAGTGCAACATGCCTATTTCCTAAATGAAGGGGATTGGCAGACCCAAGTAACCACTTAGTTATCCTGGGAATGGAGCACTTAATTCTATATGCTAATTGGATGGGTGATAATGAGGATAGAGTGGCCCAGTCTATATTCACTGGGGTATTGCCTTGGCTGTAAGAGAAAAAATAAGAGGAGGAGGAGGAGGAGGAGGCGGAGGCGGAGGTGGAGGAGAAAGCTTCTTAAAGGTTGAGATTTGTCTTGGCAAAAAATGGGATCTTTGCAGAGCTCAAGTGTGCAAAGCAAGACAGACATTCTCTACTGGTGTTACAGCTGAGCTAAATATAGCACAGAGAGAGAGAGAACATTTAAACAAATAGAAGGCGGGTTTGGAGACTAGAAGGAAAGATGGAAGATACCATGTTTAGGGTTAGAAAGCAATTTTCTTTCAGACTTCTCGTTGGACTGACCCCTCTGCTCCCCTCCGCCTCAGCTTCCTATGCAGCCGATTTCCGTTCAGTTTAGGAAAAACAAAGATAATTCAGAATCCTCACAAAGAAAAGGTCAGATCTGTAACTTACATAAATTCTGTACATGTATTTTTCCTTTATTTTGCTTGCACTAACCACCGCCTCATTGGCTGGGGCAAAGAATTACGTAGGACAAAAGTGGTTAAAATCGTTAACCAAAGAAGGAGAGGGCGGTAGGTTAGGAGCAAAGCAGGCGCTTTGCTCAATTAGCCACACCCATTAATTTCAGTGGGTCTAACATTGGATACAACATTAACCTAAGTTCACTAATTTTAATGGCTCTGCTCTGAGTAAAAGTTAGTTGTCTACAACCCATGACTGCCTCAGACTTAATCTTCAATTAGTGACCAGATTGGGAAAGACCCGTCTGAGGCAATGGAGGGCTAGCTGTAGATTAGCAAGACTAGGGTTGCCATATTCCCCAAAAGTGAAAATCCGGACAAAGTTCTTGAGCTTTTTTGCGAAACATCTCTCCACCAAAATTAAGTTTTTTGGATTTTTAAAAATCCGCCTGGAAGCCAATTTCAGAGCCCGATTCCTGGACGTATGGCAGCTGTAAGGAAGACACAATGTCAGACTAGACTGTCCAACAATCTTACATAATAAATTATTATTTGCTTATTACATTCGCTTACCACCTTTTCCTTCAAGGAGCTCAAGGTGGCATACATGGTTTTTTCTCTCCCCATTTTCTCCTGACAATGAAGTGACCCGGACCCTGAGATCATCATCTGAGGTCCTTCTTCATGTGTATCCTCCATGAGAGATCCAGAGTGTGGAAACAGGAGAAGGGGGGCCTTTGTGGAATGCTCTCCCCAAGAAGGCTCGCCTGGTGCCATCATTACTTATCTTTAGACTATACTTATCTATAACCAGGCCTGTTGGAAGTGGGGCGGTGGTGATGTTTTTAAAGTATTTCTTGTTTTCCTCTTGGCTTTCATGTATCTATGTGGGGAGGTTGTCTGTCTGCCTGTTTGGTTCAGGTACGTAGCTGTGTTGGTCTGACACAGTCAATATAGATAGATGATAGATAGATAGATAGATAGATAGATAGATAGATGATAGATAATTGTCCAGTAGCACCTTAGAGACCAACTAAGTTTGTTCTTCGTATAAGCTTTTGTGTGCATGCTCACTTTGGTATCTGAAGAAGTGTGCATGCACACAAAAGCTTATACCAAGAACAAACTTAGTTGGTCTCTAAGGTATATATTTTGCCTGTTTGGTTGTAAGTCACTCTGGGTTGCTCTGGGCAAGATAAAGCAAGTAACAAATTCAATAAATAATAATAACAACAACCCGGTGAGATATGTTAGGCTGAGAGGCAGTGACTGGCCCAAGCTTTGTGGCTGAGTGGGGATTTGAATCATGGACTCCCAGGTCCTAGTCCAACACTCTAGCTGTTTCTCCACACGGGCTCTCGGCATGTTCCTATGCATTAAAGCACATACAGTGGTACCTCTGGTTATGTACTTAATTCGTTCCGGAGGTCCGTTCTTAACCTGAAACTGTTCTTAACCTGAAGCACCACTTTAGCTAATGGGGCCTCCTTCTGCTGCCACGCCGCCGGAGCACGATTTCTGTTCTCATCCTGAAGCAAAGTTCTTAACCAGAGGTAATATTTCTGGGTTAGTGGAGTCTGTAACCTGAAGCGTCTGTAACCTGAAGCATATGTAACCTGAGGTAGCACTGTACCTGATGATGGCCTTGACAGCAAACCGAACAACTGTGGAAAGCAGGAACAACGGTGTGACCAGGATGTGGAAGAGCGACAACGAAGCGAAGGCCTGGGCTGTAGTTGGTGGTTCCTCTTTAATATACGTGTATGTCACAAAGGTCTGTCATGTCAGGAAAAAGAGTGTGTTGGTTATGTTGCTTCGTGCAGAACAAGCAAGGCAAAGAATGTGTGAGATGGGAGGAGGGGGTTGGAATGCAATGCTCTTTGCATTTTAATGGCAAACTATCTAATTTGGATAGATGGTTTTGGAACCAATTTTGGAACCATTTTGGAACCAATACGCAAAGTGAAACCAAATTCTATTCCTCAGGGATTCGCACTTCTCTGAATTTTGCACCCCATTTATGCAACCAAAAGTGTATAAAAATGAGGGTCCTCTGAATCCAGTTTGTAAATCTGGATTGGACCCGATCCTGTCTTGACTGATCTGGATCCCTTCCGATCCATCCCGGATGGATTGTGAGACTCTTTGATTAAGTTTATTTATTTATTTCATGAAATTTATAGACTGTAGAGAAAAGCAACAACTCAGAAGAGGGTTGACGGAAAAGATTAAATAATATTGTCACTTTAAAAACCGCAACAATTATTTAAGACCTACAGGAAGTCAAAACCACAGTAGAGTAGACTGAAACAAACTAAAACTCATGCAGGTTTTCTAAACATCTGGGTAGGCTTGCCAAATAAAAATATCTTCAGCAGGCTCTGAAAAGAATGAAGTGAAGGCAGCTGCCTGATATCAACAGGCAAGGAGTTCTCAGGGCTATTAAGTGAGATGCAAGTACCATGCTTTCCAACTTGGGGCACATGCTCCACAGTGGGGCAATTTGATTTTTAATGGGGGCAATTCGAGAATGAGTTATTTACAGTTAATGGCCTTTTAGGCTTCCTCCACATGAATAGTTCACTTTTTGAATAATAAAAATTATATGTCACGGGTAGGGGGGGTGGATCAGGATTTTAGAGATGCTTAGGTGGGGCATGGCCCAAAAAAAGGTTGGGTACCACTGTGTAAGTATCCTAAACAGGTAAATAGGTGTCCTGTTGCCACTGCTGCTGCTCCTGGACCACTGATACAAATACAGTGGTACCTTGGTTCTCAAACGCATTGGTTCTCAAACGCCGAAAACCCAGAAGCAAGTGTTCTGATTTTTGAACGTTTTTCGGAAACTGAACGTCCAATGCGGCTGTCAGCTATTGTTTCCGGCGCACCTGCACCTATCAGAAGCTGTGTCTTGGTTTTCAAACATTTCAGAAGTCAAACAGACTTCCAGAACGGATTAAGTTTGGCGCTTTTGTTTTTGCAATTTATTTTGTGTTTTTGTTTTTGAGGCTTTTTCAGTTAATTTGTTTTTGTGACTGTGTGGAACCCAGTTCAGCTACTGATTGATTGATTGATTGATTGATTGATTGTGTGGCTGCAGAAATGGATAAAAGCCCTCCATCCAAACAATGACTATCATGCAGGTATGAAAAGTATTGAATTTTAATTTTTATCATCTACAATACTGTCTTATTTATTTTATAGTACAGTACATTGATTATTGCTTTCACTTTATGGATCAATGGTCTTGCTAGATAGTAAAATTCATGTGAAATTGCTGTTTTAGGGGTTGTTTTTAAAAGTCTGGAACGGATTAATCAATTCTGCATTACTTTCTATGGGAAAGTGTGCCTTGGTTTTGGAACGCTTTGGTTTTGGAACGGACTTCCGGAACGGATTGAGTTTGAGAACCAAGGTACCACTGTAGAAATACAAGTAGGAGGTATGCTTGGCAACACGTATCCCAGCCCTCACGTGGCTTGAGAATATTTTTTGGAGGTTTTCCATTTTCTTCCAAGCAATTTCAGAAAAATCCTGAGCTAATCTCAGGACAGTATTGTGTGGTAAGTGATTTGTCATCTTTAGTTAGAATCTTTCTCCATAAGTTGTTGTTGATGATGATGATGTTTTACATCTGGGAACGTTCAAGGGGACATCTGCCCTGCTGTCTGAAATAATACAATCTACTCTACCACCTCAAAAATCTAGCACTTCATCCTTCTGTATGTCTACAGCTAATTTAAAAGTTTGCTTAATAAACCACCCAACATTCACCCCCCCAAAAAAATTAATTCTTACCGCAAGAACAGCTGCAATTGGTATAGCTGCATTCATAAAAACTGTGGAAACAAGCAAAACCATGAATTATATACAGCAACATTTGTCAGTGTCTGAACTATACTATAGATGTTTGCCTTAAGATTATTTCCTGCCTGGACAACTCCATAATTGGAGGTTGGGGGGGGGAGCTTTTCCTGTCAAATGAAAACATACTTGGAAACATTATGGTTTGTGTATTTTACTGAGCTGGGGAACATATTCCCGAAAGAATTGACGGGTTGTATTGCACAGTTAAAAACGTTGGCTTGGTGGGGAAAAGGGAATTATTTAAATTGCTGAGGTTATGCTAACCTAAATCAAAGGCCATTAAAAAAAATAAACAAACTCTGCTATATCAGCTGCCCATAGATGCTGCGTGTGATTGTTAATGTAAACTAATGGATGTCAACAAGCTTAATAAGGAAGGTTAGAAGATTATTTGGAGAGATCTTGTCATGCTTGTCCCAGGGTATGAGAAAGGCAACAGGAGGTCAGGAAATCATTTCCCCTCGGCCAAGTTTCATAAACTTGCAAGCTTCACAAGGCTTTTTTTTTTCATCTTGGAAGACAAAGAACACGTAGAGATGCTGGAAGCTCATCTTGTGGGAAACGGGACCTGCTCTGCTGCGTGTGATCTCTCTTCCGTCTCTCTGCTAAGGTTGGAAATGGAGAGGTGACTGAATCCTGGGAATGGGCAGAGGGAGAAAGAGAATTGCCCCTGCAGGCCCTGGGGATAGCCTTCCCAGTCTTGTAAAATCAGGATCAGAAGCCACATGCAGGAAGTACGATAATTCAATTCTCTGCCTTGGAGCTCCCTAATCAGCTAAAATAATAATAATGTTTAACTGGCGGACCTAAAACTAGGAATGACCACCAATTATGATGAATGTCAGTCAAAGGGCGCTACTGAAATCATGGTCTGCCTGTTGGCTTCCCACAAACATCTGGGTGGTCGCTGTGGAAAGCAGGATACTGGGCTAGAAGGGTCTTTTTTGATCTCATCCAGCTGGGATCTTGTTACTTTGCAGCATTTCACAGATGACAACAGAGACTCTGGAGGCTTGCAACCTCCAGAGCAGTTTGGTGCAGGTCTGTGTTGAAGGTGCCCATGGACGTGGGCAGTTTTTGTGGCAGGTGCTGCCTCTAATGGCTCTATAAGACCATGAGAAGAGCCCGCTTTTTGAAGCCAAAGATCTATCTATTCCAGCATCCTGTTATCACAGTGGCCAACTAGGTGCCTCTGGGTGGCTTGCAAGGCCACTTCCAAGCTAGTGGCGGTTAGGCATTGGTAGGGGTATTGTTATGTAGATGAAGGGGGGGGAGGAAGCACCATCACTTCCCCTGGATTGCGAAGGGTAGTCCGATAAATGATTCCAGGGGGCGTGGCCCTGTCCGAAGCCTATGGAGGTGAGGACCTAAGGCACGCCCCCAAGCGGTGACCCCGGGGGAGTTCCTAGTTGATGTGCATCAGCAGGACTCCCCCTACTGGTGGTTAACCCTTACCGGTCTTCAAGCAAGCGGGCTGAAGCTGGATAGTCAGTAGGACCAATGCCTAAGCCAATACCGCTCATCACCTGTAACCAATAGAGTTGTGGCCAATTTTAGCCCATTAACCTCAAGACTTGTGTCATGTGTCGTTATTTCCACCGGGGGGAGGCGGAAACTCGCCATGCAAGAAGGTTCGGGGTGTTTACAGCACTCTTCCCACCTGTGATTTTCAGCTACTGGTATTCAGAGACATGCAGCTTCCAACACTGGAGGTAAAATATAGCCCTTGTGGCTAGTAAACACTCTTTAAAAGCCAGCTCCATCTGGTACGCTGGCTGAGTCCCTACCTGCCTGCCCACTGTCTCGCCAGAGTGATACATCCTCTGGTTATCTCCCACTTGGACTACTGCAATGTGCTCTACGTGGAACTACCTTTGAAGGTGGCCCGGAAACCACAACTACTCCAGAATGCGGCAGCTAAATGGGTGACTGGGAGCGACCGCTGAGACCACATAACACGGTCTCGAAAGACCTACATCGGCTCCCAGTACGTTTGCGAGCACAATTCAAAGTGTTGGTGCTGACCTTTAAAGCCCTAAATTGCCTCGGCCCAGTATACCTGAAGGAGCGTCTCCACCTCCATCATTCAGCCCAGACACTGAGGTCCAGCTCTGAGGGCCTTCTGGCAGTTCCCTCATGGCAAGAAGTGAGGTTACAGGGAACAAGGCAGAGGAACTTCTCGGTAGTGGCACCTACCCTATGAAACACACTCCCACCAGTTGTCAAGGAAATAAACAATTATACAACCTTTTGAAGACATCTGAAGACAGCTCTGTATAGGGAAGTTTAATGTTTTATTAAGTTTTTGTATATGCCGGGAGCAGCCCAGGGTGGCTGGGGCAACCCAGTTAGATGAGCGGCGTACAAATAATAGAACGTTGTTGTTGTTGACAGCCATCACTACTGCTTGTGGGAACAAATTCCATAGTTTAACAAATAACATAACTGGCAACCTGTTCTATCCACCCAAACAATAAGATATGGCAACGTTTAAGTATGCCATGCATATATATATAGAGAGAGAGAGAGAGAGAGTATGCCTATTCCTGTATTTATTGCTGTGACTTTTGTATTTTATAGCATATGTGGCATGTGTGTGCTTTTAAAAAAGCATTTATTCTAATTTGTGCGCAGCTGTTTTTGCGTTTGTCTTTGGATAAAAAGGGAGGAGGGTCAAACAATGAGATGCTGGCCTTCCAGCCAGCCTGCCACACTCAAGGATATATATACTTACTGGAGAGAGATGTGTACAGAGCAAAGGTTTTGAGGCTCGTAAGCTCCTTCACCCTCGTTTCTTCTACGCTTCTGCAGAATATGTGCTCCCAGGCGTACAGCTTTAAAAGCTTGATCCCTTTCAGTATTTCATTGGTTTTCTTCAGCCTCTCTGTGGAGTAATCCTTTCCATTGATGGAAAATGGAGAGAGAAAAGAGGAAAAGAGCATTAAACCACCCATATAAAAAAAATGCAAATAAATAATAAATAATATTTAAGCAAACTATGGAGTGTGCCAAACTGCAAAGTGAGGCCACAGGGTGGAGAGGGGAGAGACTGAGAGCCCATAATGTGTTGCTGATCGTCGAAACCATGGTTTGAAGATCAGCTTGAAACATCAGGAGCTGCCACATTTTCAAATCAGTTCAATAGTTTTTGATGCAAGAATTATGGTACAGTCAAACGTTCGTTGTCAAACGTAATCCATTCCGGAAGCCTGTTCAGCTTCCAAAAATGTTCACCACCCGAGGCACGGCTTCTGATTGGTTGCAGGAGCTTCCTGCACTCAAGCGGAAGCCGCGTCAGACATTCAGCTTCCAAAAAACATTCAAAAACCAGAACATTTACTTCTGAGTTTTCGGCATTTGGGAACCGAAACGTTCCAAAACAGAGGCGTTCAGGAGCCAAGGTTTGACTGTAGTCAGTTATATCGCTGTTCCTTTGGTTGATCTGAAACCACTAAGTGCCCATCTAAACAAAGATGATGATGTTGATGATAATAATAATGTCTGGGGTTTGAAAGTCAAACCATGGTTAAGGCAGGGTGCTGAGTTCAAACTTAACACCAAGACATAATTGACAGAAACTAAGGTTTGTGCATCAATAAAGAAACTGTGGCTTGTTGGTAATAAATAAAAAACAGTTAAGCTGCTGGGCTGTCTTCACACACCATGCTAATCATGGTTTAACAAACCATGGGGTCCTACTCGAGGGTAGGACGAGCTCCTGACAATATTATGGGGAAACAAAGCCACGAGTGTCAGTTTAGTTGTTTAAATGCTATTATTTATACTCCGCCCATCTGGCTGGGTTTCCCCAGCCACTCTGTTAAGCAACATAGAGCCATAGAGTCGTAGAATTGGAAGGTCCCCATGGTCAACTAGCCCAACCTTCTGCAATGGAGGAAGCTTTTGCCCAACCTGGGGCTCGAACTCACGACCTTGAGGTTAAAAGTCTCATGCTCTGCCGACTGAGCTACATCCAACAGCGTACAGTAGCCAGGCACAGAACTCCAGTGTGTTACCACTCCAGTCGCGTGCTTTAAATAGCTGCCAAGTCTCATGTGTGGAAAAACAACTTACAAGCGTGCTCTTCTGAGCCTCGGCCAACTTTGTCGCTATGAAATATTGTATTGGAGCCAGCAATACAATGACAGCAGCGCCGACCAAGGCACTCTGGCCAAGTAAGTTGTAGAGCAGGATCACTCCCATGATAATCTACAAAAAAGGGGGGATGAAGGGAGAGAAGACTTAGGAAACATTGCCAGTTCTGTAGTTCAGTGCACAAACCTGTATGAGATGACCTAAAGGTGAAGCTGCCAAATTCAAAATATGCCGCATAATGCTTAACTGTAAAGGGTGTGTAACAAAGGCCACTAAGTCATACTAAGTCAGATGCGGGTGGCACTGTGGTCTAAACCACTGAGCCTCTTGGGCTTGCCGATCAGAAGGTGGGCGGTTTGAATCCCCGTGACAGGGTGGGTTCCCGTTGCTCTGTCCCAGCTCCTGCCAACCTAGCAGTTCAAAAGCACGCCAGTGCAAGTAGATAAACAGGTACCACTGTGGCAGGAAGGGAAATGATGTTTCCATGAGCTCTGGTTTCCGTCACGGTGTTCCGTTGTGCCAGAAGCAGTTTAGTCCTGCTGGCCACACGACCCGGAAAGCTGTCTGTGGACAAATGCCGGCTCCCTTGGCCAGAAAGCAAGATGAGCGCCACAATCCCATAGTCGCCTTTGACTGGACTTAACCGTCCAGGTGTCCTTTACCTTACCTTACTAATGTATGTTCACTCCATACATTTAAAGCACTATGATATTGCTTTAAACAGTCATGGCTTCCCCCAGAGGATTCTGGGAGCTGAAGTTTGTTTAAGGGTGCTGAGAGCTATTAGGTCCTTGTCCCCTCTGCCCAGAGCTACGATTCCCCAAATTCCCTGTAAAGAGGGATTTATTGTTAGGCCACTCTGGCAATTGCAGCTCTATGAGGGGAATAGGGGCCTCAAAACAATTCTCAGCACCCTTCACATAACAAAGCTCCCAGAATTCTTTGGGGGAATCCATGACAGTTTTAAGTGGTATTGTAGTGTTTTGAATGTATGGGGTAAACGTGGCTGTAGTATTAATTGCTCTGCCTTGTGGTGGCTATCCGAGATCTCTGGCAAAGGAGGTTCCCCCCCCCCCGCTACCCTGCTAGCAGGGGGGGAATTCAGGGCAGAGGTGAAACCTGTGGCCCTCCACCTGTTTTTGGGTTCCTACTCCATCAACCCCACCCAGCATGGCCAAAGGATAACTGCAATGCCCTTTGTGTGAGGCTCCCTTTGCACTTGATCTGGAAACTGCAGCTAATGCAGAATGCTGCAGCACAGTTGCTGACAGGAGCGACGCCCTCTCAGCATGTAACATCTCTGCTCAGAGATCTACACTGGTTACCAATTTGTCACTGGGATAACTGCAAAGTTTTCTCGCACCCACTCGCATGTTTAACAGCTGCATAGTAAAACTGCAGGAAGTCCTCAACAGCCTGGGACTAGTTTACTTGCAAGATTGCTTACACCATTTGCAGTAAATCATTCGTTTAGTGTGGCGGCAGCTACGCTTTGGAACTCCTTGCCAATTGACACCAGGCAGATGCCTTTGCAGCACCTGCTTAAGACATTTTTGCCTAGGCAGCCTATCCAGACACATAGATGCTGATGTCTCTTTAATCTCTTTTCAGTTTTCTGTTGGTTTTAATCGTTTTTTTTAAAAAATGGTTTCAAATACTTGGTTTTAACTAAATTTAAAATTTGCCCAGTAGCACCCTAGAGCCCAACTAAGTTTGTTCTTGGTATAAGCTTTCGTGTGCATGCATACCTCTTCAGATTTTTTGGTTTAAACTATTCTTATTTATCATTTTAATGACCCAGATTCAACCTTCCCTGGCCGCCAGTACAAGGGCTGTTGTGCTAGCCTAAGTGGCAATAATAACAGTTGTGCAATATGAAATCAAGTGCAATGGTTGCACTAGCTGCATTTAATTCCTCCCAGTATTTCTTGTAAGCAGCCCAGATGTTTCGTTACAATCAAGCAGTATACGGATTTTGCCAAATCCAGCAAAATAAAGAGTCACACATGATGAGAGTTGTAGACAAGCAACATCTGGAGGGACATGGCAAGTTCATCCTCTGCTTTAACTGGTGATGCCAAGAATTGAACCCAGAAGCGCCTCCATCCATCCCTGTGCTCTAACCCTGAGCTTTGGTCCCTCCTTTAAGGCTCCGTCGTTCTTTAAGATTCAGTAAAGTTGTGTGGGTGTGTTTTTTTGCAATGAATGAAATGAAATCTGTTGTGTCTTCCAAAAATCAGTCCCTTACTTCGATGCTCTACCTGAACGGGCATAGCCCATAGGTTGGGACACAGGAAAAGGAACCACATCAGTTGATTAGTTTCAATGGCGACCAAGTTATTGATCTGTCCCAGAGTCATCTCTCCCATGGACAGGTTGGATGTGGAAAGTCTCAGCATCTTATTATAGATCATTGCCTGTGGAAAGAAGCAGGGCAAAATTTTGGTGGGTGGTATACATTCCTTTTCTTTAAATTATTATTATTTGTTTGCATATTTAATGAAGGAAAAAAGGAGAAAAACATTTAAGACCGTAATGTGAAAAAATAGTATATAAATGATACTGAGATGTCAGGGACCGTACTGAGGAGGAATGGTGGGAGCCACCCCTTCCCCCTGATCCTGATCCTGAATCTTCCCAGGAGCAGGAGGACAGAATAGATTTAGAACAGTGGTTTGCAGAGGGACATAGTTCAGAAGGCAGAAGCTGGGAAATGCTGGATGAGGAACAGCTAGCAGAAGAAACACTGGAAAAGAGAGTTAACAGATTCACAGTCTATGGATAGCATCCACCCCCCTTCTCCAAAGTCTCGAAGAGCTCAGGACGTCTTGTAATTTGACGTAGATTAATAGGGACGGAGGGGGTGTAAGCCTTAATTGGGAGCACCGCAATTTCTAGGAGATGGGTTCTTTGTTCACCTGCTGTGATTATCAAAGATTCTAACTGGTAAGGCATTCCTTTCCTTTGATCTCTTATCTACTGCCATGGGGGGAGGAAGCCAATTCCCCGAAGCCTAACATGAGACTAACAACAACAACGACAAAAATACCATCATCAATTCACAATCTAAATACAATAACTATCAATATTGTGTTTAGTTAAATGTGTAAGTAGAATGAGGCACTCCAAATGTCCAGAGAAATATCCACACAAAATTGACAAATGTAGCAAGGGCTGCCAGCGATAGTTAGTGGGTATTGCTGTATAAGTCTCTTAGCAACCATAAGGGCTCATAAAAGCCGCTTTTGACGTCCTGCCATTAATCCCCATACTACAGGAATAAAAGTTCATGATCCCTAGGGATGTGCTCCACAAGGAGCTGGCTCAAGGCCCGAGGCCCATTGGCAGACCAACACTACGCTACAAAGATGTCTGCAAACAAGACATGAAGGTTAGCAACATCAACTTCGCTGTTTGGGTATCTCTTGCAGATGACCACAGCACCTAGAGGCAGTCAGATGGTATATCCAAATCAGTGACCAGAGGAGGAATCATAGGCAGATTTGGAGAGTGCTGCTGGTTCGGTCACACTAGGCGTGGAACCTTGGGGGCGCTGAAGGGAGCGCCGTAACTCTGCTTTAGGATGGAGCATGAGAGACAGGGGGCGCCGAATTTCGGCATCGTTTGCGGGTGGGGAGAAACCTTCCCTCAGCATCAATCTGTAGGGGGCAAATGTCACAAGACAGTCTGGGAGGGGGTTCATTACAGATTTATGAATTGTGGGTGTTTTTCTGTACCCCTCTTTCTTTCTTTTCAATCCAGAAAAAAAAAAAAGACTTGCCACTGCTTCAGGCCGAGGTTCCTCTCCTCAGAACAGCCTTGCAACATTTCTGGGCCAGACTGGGCATGGGAACGATGTTTCATTTTGATGCAGTGGCATTCCTACGGCCCAGGAATGTGACAGGGCTCCTCTGAAGAGAAAGTGTGCCAAAGCTTATAAAAAGAAAAAGAAAAAAATACTACTCGCAGCCACCTCATAAAAATGTAAGTGAATCTGAAAGTAGTGCAAGTTACATTCTCTCATTGCCCCTGAAAGTCAACAATACCCCCCCCCACACACACAACCTTTGTGGGGGACAAAATGTTGTTTGAAGGTGGGGTGGGGGCTAAGGGATGGGAAGACTTCTGCCCAGTTCAATTTTTTTTAAAAAAATGATATTTATTGAAGGAATTTTTTTTTTTTTAAGTTACAAAAGAAAACAAACTAGAAAAAGAGAAAAACAAGCCACTTCCAACCATACAAATACACAAATTAAGAGAGGGGGGAAAAACAAAAATACACCACAAAAATTTAAAAACAATTAAAAACAAATCCATTATTTTCAACTCCTCAACTGTCATTACCCTCTTTCCTTGACCTCCTCCTCCTCCCCTTCCTTGTGTCCTGGTTGTTAATTGTCACAGCAAATCCTTTCCATATTTCATAATATTCTGTCATTACATTACCTTAAACTATTTTAATCTTATCTTACTATAAAAACCTTGGAACTTAAAACTTAAATCTTATTTTTACCAACTTCTCATAACCATAATATTCTTACATAATTCTTTAAACATTTTTACTAAAGCCAAATAATTTCATTCCAACATTTTTCTAACATTCATCAATTTTATAAAACAGTCCTAGTGATGAAAAAAAGAAATAAAAACAAATCCAATCTTCATCCAGCGTCCCTTCCTCCTGGTCCCGGGTTTGTCAGTCCTTATTATCCCATCGATCTGGCGCATTAACCTGGTGACCTTATATCCGAGGCCCTTAAGTCTCTTCCATGTCCCTTCCGCAGCTCTTCTTCATATTTGTAACTGTATTTTCCCTTGTCTCCTGCTCGTTTCACTCGTGGGAACTCCAGCTTAGCAATATTTTTGACCCTTCTCGACAGATCAGCCCCTTTTCCATAATCGACACTAAATTCCATGTGGTATTTAAAAACATGTTTCAAAACCCTCCAAAATTGAGAGCCCCACAATCCCAAACATCTCGCGGCCCATTGCCAGACTTGAAAAGTCCAAAAATCCCTGCATAGGAGGGTCTATCCAACCCCCCATTTCCAAACCAAACCACACTTTTTCTTTCCAAATCTGGCTTTTTCCAAGTTCATTTGTCAAATCCAAAAGCTCATATTCCTGTTGGGCCTGTTCTGTCAGGGCACACTCCTGATTTAATTCCTTGGTGGGCTCCACATATCTTCCCACTGCCTGTTCAAAATTTCCCACAGCCTGTTCAAAATTTCTAATCGAATCAGCCATCAAATTCGTCTTCTCATGTAGCTGTTCCAGTAGGGCATTTGTTTTATAGAAAGCACACAACAGAGCTTCTGAATACATTGTCCTGCAAGGTCAGATGTCTATTCCCACGATTGTAATCTGTAACAGCTGCCAGCTCCCAGGAGTTGGTTACAGTTTCACAGTCTCCCTCTAGGGAAAAACTTCTATTTGATCTTTCTTTTAAAGACAAGTCTAGCAACAGAGTTTCCTTTTTCAGATATTTTGTCAATATTTGTTCCTTTAAGGTGTGAAAGGAAACAATGGAATCACTATGTTCCTCTTCTTTTAGCTATCTGTCAAAAGTGTTTATCTCTGGTCAATGAGCTTCATACGTCAGTCCTGACACCCTGCTCCAGGATCAGGACGGTGGAAAGTTACTTTACTTTAAACTCACTTCTGCAGGTTTAAACAGTCCAAAAAGATCCCCTTCTTCTCCTGCTGCCGAAGGGGGGTTCAACAATTTTAAATGATGAAAGCCAATCCTTTAGAGGCGATTTTCTGAGCTCTAGTTTACGTTGTCTTTGCTTTATTCTATCTACAAAGAAACGGAAGGCTGACTTCCTGTTTAGACCTTCCCGTTTCAGTACCAAATTGAAGTAAAATTTTTAAGTCCAATTCCTTTCTGCTCGCAAGTCCTTATTTAAAGTCCAATTGTTCAAAGTTTAAGTACTCACGGGTGCTTATTTTAAAAACCAAATTGTCCCAGGAAAAAGGCAGCGCCCTCCGGCAACGGCTGTGCGGCTTCGCTCCACGGAAATAGCAGTTGACTCACAGCACCGCGCCTGCCCAGTTCAATTTTAAAAGCCTGATACCACTTGGTAGGACAGACCTATATGATTCAAATCAGGCATCCTCAGCTGGTTTTGGACTACAACTCCCATCATCCCTCACTAACAGGACCAGTGGTCAATGATGATGGGAATTGTAGTTCCCAAAACATCTGGAGGGCCAGACTTGGGGGTGCCTGATTCAAATATTATTTCTTTAAAATTTCTATCCTGTCATTCCTCCCAGAGGAGCCCAAGGTATAAAATACCCAAACACGAAAACAGTAAACATAATTTTTAAACCCTACAAACTTATGAAAACATATTTTAAAGCAGTTAATGTTGTCAAGATTGCCAGACAATGTCTTTTAGCCCTCAAGTGCCTGAGTGAACAGTAATGTTTTACAATTTCTCTGGAATGCTATTAATGAGGGAGCAGATGCATCTTACAGGGGAGGGCATCCTATAAACAAGGAGCCACCACCAAGAAGGCCCTGTCATGGGTCAACGCCAACCAGGCACTATGATGGAAGAAAGGTGGGATGAAGCAAGATGTAAACAGGTCTTTTGCCACTGCTATCAGGTACAAAGGACACTGGAGAGACTCCTTAATGCCATCCAAACAGCCAAACACTTTTTATCAAATCTGCCCCAATCCTCCTGGTCCAATTAGGCCAAAGTATGGATACTTTGAAGCCTTGACCAAGCCGTTTCACAGCCTGTGGAGTAATGCCTTTATTTACCAGCAAAGCTCCTCGTAGATTGATGCCTGTTTCTATGGTAACATAGTAGGAGGCCTGGAGAAAGGTCCTTTGCAGGATGAGGGCCAAGAAGAGGAGAACTGCCAGGACATAGGCGGTTTTGAGGAAATTGGTCGAAGTGAGGAACGGATCTGTAGAATTCTACGGAGCAAAACGAAAGAGATTGTTTAAACTAAGAAAAAATATTGGAGGTCTAACCGAACAGCAAGGAAATGAAAAATAATAATAATTAGGGCTGTCACCCTAATTGGCCTAAGGCAATTAACCTGGAAAAAATGCATAAACGTGAATGTGACTAAACAATAATTGCTAAGAAAAAACTACAATTTTTCTCTAAAGTATCAAAAAGAAAAAGTACAGTTAAAAATAAGAAGACTAAAATAATTCTGGAGTCCCTGATAAACAATAGTTTGTTGGTTGAAGAAACACACACACACCCTACCTCCCCCTGTTTCATTCATGATTTGTTAAACCATAGTTTCCTGTGACATATGAATTGGGAAGCTTTTGGTATAAGTGCTTCTTACAAAGCAGGGTATCAAATGTCTCGACTTGGTCTGTTTAAAAAGGAAAAGCCTATTCAAATGATACTTCCACACACAAACAAATGATACTTCCTTCTCCTATCACCTAAATTTTAGGTCCCATAAACAATAACCAACTGAGGACCAACAAGCCATCTCCCTAAAAAAATATACTCTAATTTTACTTACTCTAACTGGGTAAATAGCTCCAGAGGTTAAGGCAGTGTAGTTTGCAGACGTTGCATTGGTCAGGAGAATGTCGTCTTCAGTCTCGTTAGAAAAACTCATAACGATGCCGGAAATACAGAGCGGTCCAGCAAACCCCAACAGATCGGCTAAGTAACGGAAGGTACTGCTCAGAAGGATTGGCCGCCCGAAGGCGCGATACATGGCAAGCCAGATGGAAGGCTTGCGGTTTGGCTTGTCCTCCACTTTTTTCTGAGGAAGAAATAATAATAATAATAATAATAATAATTTATTATTTATACCCCACCCATCTGGCTGAGTTTCCCCAGCCACTCTGGGCGGCTTCCAATCGAGTGTTAAAAACAATAGAGCATTAAATAGGGTGGATGCAAATTTTCAAAATAAATAAAACTCTTTTTTTCCTTGTGAGGATACTGCTATGTTTCTCTTCTAAAAATAAATCAACTTACACGAAACAACCCAAACAGAAGCATGTTTGTCCTACAATCAATCTCTAAAACTGAATCGATACAGGGTACGTTGAGATAAAGGGGCTTTTCTACGTAAACGAAGAACCAGCGTGACTGTTTCCCCAAATATGGATACAGTGGTACCTCGGGTTACATACACTTCAGGTCACATACGCTTCAGGTTACAGACTCCGCTAACCCAGAAATAGTACCTCGGGTTAAGAACTTTGCTTCAGGATGAGAACAGAAATCATGCAGCGGCGGCATGGCAGCAGCGGGAGGCCCCATTAGCTAAAGTGGTACCTCAGGTTAAGAACAGTTTCAGGTTAAGAACGGACCTCTGGAACGAATTAAGTACTTAACCCAAGGTACCACTGTATTCACGTTCTGTCTGATTTGCACCATTGCTTGGGAAATGTGAAGAAATATCAATGGAAAACCAGATTTAAATCATCTGTTTAAACTTGTTGCTTTTCTTGCTGATTTCAGCTCATGAATCAACTCGTTGATTCGAGCTGCTTTCATTTAAAGCAGGGGCGGGGAAAACCTTTTTTAATTTATTTGTTTTTTTACTGCGAGGGCCCCCATTCTCTTCATGGCAACGTTCTGGGGGCTGCGTGCCAGCGGTGGGCAGGGTTAGAGGCAAAAGTGGGAGGAGCAATGATAGCTTTATGTTTGTACAGTGAGGTAGCTTCTGTGCACGCACACACACCTATCATCTTCCATGAAGCAAGCAAGAAACATTATCAGAGTTCAAGGACATGTTCCAGCCAGGCAAAAACACTCGGGGCGTGAAGAGGGACAGTGCGTAAAGCAGGTGAGGCTCAGGAGAGTCCTGAGGGCCAGATGGAGAAGCCTGGAGGCCAGATGGAGAAGCCATGGAGGAGACTGACAATAAACCATGATGAAAGCAACTCAAAACATACATCCTATGCAGACATCCTTAGGAATATTTGGTTATTAATGAATATTTATTCACACTTCTACACAGGCAACAGTGTAACCCTTTCACATCCAAGGACAGCTTTGATCTCCAGCATGTCACTGCCACTGCCCACCCCTCATTTCTGCCGCCTAAGGCAGCTTCCTCAGTTTCCCTAAAGGTAGGGCTGGTGGGGTCTGGACACATTCAAAAGGAATGAAGGCCTCGAAAGGGCGAATGTGGAATAAATTTACCTCTGATTTTGCTGTAGGTGAAATTGACAGGCAGCAGGTACGGGTGGACTAAACAATGGCTATAAATGTTACTACTACTACTACTGGAGAGTCAGTGTGGTATAGTGGTTAAGAGCAGTGGATTCGTAATCTGGTGAACCAGGTTTGATTCCCCGCTCCTCCACATGCAGCTGCTGGGTGACCTTGGGCCAGTCACACTTCTCTGAAGTCTCCCAGCCTCACTCACCTCACAGAGTGTTTGTTGTGGGGGAGGAAGGGAAAGGAGAATGTTAGCTGCTTTGAGACTCCTTAGGGTAGTGATAAATCGGGATATCAAATCCAAACTCTTCTCTTCTCTTCTACTAATAAAAACAATAATTTGATTCTTCCAAATTGACTGTAGATGTTGTTGTTTTCCCCCTGATGGGACCCTCTATATTTATATTTTTGCTTTAGGAAAAATGGAGTGGCAACTATCCTTTGGAAACAGGACTCACAGAAATTGGAGCTGACGGTCCATTCAATTAACTATCCAAAATCATCCCACATGGAGATTGTGCTGAAGGCACTCCCTATTCATTATTCTTGGTTTGACTTTGGATCCTTTTAGTTTGGTTTATTGTTCATTTGATCCCCTCCCCCACCCAACCCTCACACCCTGTAATCTGCCTTGAAACTCTTCTTGGAATAAATGTGACATATAACTTTAGAAAATAGCCAACTAAATAAAAATGGAATTATTACCGCTGCTATTATAGTAACAGATCTTTGGTAGATTGCTTTGATATAGGACCATGAACCTGAGGCTGACAAGAGTTATTCTCACGACAGAATTGTGTCTGAGATAATTTAACAGCCTCATGTTCAGCATCTTTCACTGAAGGCTTTGGGGGAGAACAGACTCCTACATTCTCCAAAGGGATGGAATGCACTCAAGGCCAGCCTCTGTCCCATTTTATACAGGAACAGTTTGGCTTAATCCTTATCTCCTCAGAAACCTTATAAACCGGCTATGCATGAGTAGCAGCTAGCAAGATCGCTGAAATTTAAGTCTATGGTACCAGTGTAAACAATGGCAAAAGTTAGCAGCTGCCTCAGGCCCCCAGATGTAGAATAATTTTCAGAACTTTCCTAAATTTGCCTGTAGTTCCTTTTTCAAAGCAGGTGTGGCAAGGATTGGATATGAAAAGCATGCAATCTACCCCCAAGTTTAGGCATTTTGGGGCACCGTGAGACCCCAAAACAGGATGTCCCAATTTTATCAGGACAGTTGAGGGGTATACAATGGCCATCTGACCTCTGGTGACCTCAAAAATCTCTGGTGAAGGATCCGATGAAGATGAATTCGGCTGGATCAATGGGAGAAATTATGGAAATGTGATATTAAATTTACCGCATGTTACACAATCAGAGAAAATTTGATGAAAATGGTGTACCAATGGTACTTAACTCTGGTAAAATTGGCTAAAATTTGAAAACTAAAATCAAATACCTGTTGGAGGTGCAAGAAAGAAATAGGAACAATGTTTCACATGTGGTGGGAATGCCAACCTATTAAACAGTTTTGGAATGAAATATATGAAGAAATCAAAAAGATGTTTAAAATATCTTTTAGTAAAAACCCGGAGGCATTCCTTTTAGGTATAATCACAAATGATATTCCTGACATTCAAAGGAAAGTATTCCTCTATGCGACAACAGCTGCCAGGATGCTCATAGCAAAAAATTGGAAAGGGAGAAAAAAATCCATCAATGAAAGAATGGCAAATTAAATTTTGTGAATATATACATCTGGCAAGACTCACAGCATTCATAAGGGGACAATCGGACCTAAAATTATTAAAAGAATGGGGATGTGCTAAAGAGTATATGAAAAAACATTGTTCTGGAGTAAGTATATCGGTATGTAACGGATGAAGCTTTGCAGGGTTAAAGAAAGAGAAAAATGGTGCAAAACGTATAAAGATAGTGTCTACATTAGACACAACAATTTAGAAAGAGTAAAAATTTCGAGGTCTTAGAACAAAGGAAGGAAGTCAAGATGTGTATACATAACGTTACGATCAGAATGATGATATGGATTTATTTGTAGATGTGTTTTTGGTTTTTGTTTGTTTTTTCTAGTGTTTTGTGTTTTGTGTTTTTGCTTGTTTGTACTGCTTTATTTTGGATTCAATGTTTGTAATTTTTGTTGTAATGTTGCATTGAAAATAAAAATAAAAATAGGAAGATGAATGAACTTGGGTGGCTTTAAAAGTGGGTCAGACAAATTACTGGAAGGTAAGATTGCCTCAGTTGGCTAACAGCCACAATGGCTGTGTTCGACCTCAACTATTGGAGGCATTATAGGAATCAAAAGCAGAGCAAGTGGCTGTCACAATCAGGTTCTGTTCCCGCTCAGGAAGTTACCTTTTGCTCCTCATACGCATCTTTCAAGCGGACGTAGTTTGTAAGGGCTCGCATGGCGATCGGCAGTTTCCCAATCGCCTTCAGGTCAATAGGCTTCCTGTGAGCTGATATGATAAGCGTGTTCATCCACCAGTAGGTTGCTTTGGAGAGCAAGTTGACGAAAGGCTGCAGGAACCTCACACCCAGATCCTGTAGATCTTCAGGAGGTTTCACTTTCTGAGGGTCTGTGAAAAACACATATTTCTGGAGATAAAAACAACAAAGAACAAGTTGAGTGGCAGGTGATTTTTTAAATGTTCCCCTCCCCATTTCTTTTATTTATTTATTTTATTTATATACAGTGGTACCTCGGGTTACATACGCTTCAGGTTACATACGCTTCAGGTTACAGACTCCACTAACCCAGAAATAGTACCTCAGGTTAAGAACTTTGCTTCAGGATGAAAACAGAAATCATGCAGCAGCAGCGGGAGGCCCCATTAGGTAAAGTGGTGCTTCAGGTTAAGAACAGTTTCAGGTTAAGAACGGACCTCCAGAACGAATTAAGTACTTAACCCGAGGTACCACCCGAGAAGCACAGGGATTATTCCCCCATATGGGGTAGATCCACATGTACATATTTGTAACTATATCTGCCTTCAGGAATCCAACTGTGAACTGATGTGAGTAAACTTCTTTTATTGACTTTGAATAAGATTGTGGCATCTTTATTCTTTTAAGAGGGATTTAAGGGAACTGACCAGGAACGTACAATTCAATCTGAGACAGACTGAATTGTATAATAGTGAGAAGCTCACATGATCTTGCAACCAGCTATCTGCTGTGCATGTAAAAAGGGGAATGTAACTCTGCTAAGTAAATGAACTTGCTAGCGTAAATTAGGAAGGATATCAATTAACAATATATCCTCTCCTGCCACTCTGAACATTTCCACAGCAGAGACCTGCAGAGGGGCTATACAAGAAGAAGTTCCTATAGGGCAGGGTTTCCCAAAATTGGGTCTCCAGCTGGTTTTGGACTACAAGTCCCATCATGCCTAGCTAGCAATCAGCTGGAAACTCAAGTTTGGAAACATTGCCATAGTGCATGGGAAGTGGGGAGGTTGATATACACACTAATTCAAAGCCTCTGCGTGATGCACCTTTTTGTGTGTGTGTTTTTCACAGGGTCCTAAATCTGTAAGCCATCATTTCAAAATATAGTGGTACCTCGGGTTACATGCACTTCAGGTTACATACGCTTCAGGTTACACACTCCGCTAACCCAGAAATAGTGCTTCAGGTTAAGAACTTTGCTTCAGGATGAGAACAGAAATTGTGCTCCGGCGGCGCGGCGGCAGTGGGAGGCCCCATTAGCTAAAGTGGTGCTTCAGGTTAACAGTTTCAGGTTAAGAACGGACCTCCGGAACGAATTAAGTACTTAACCCGAGGTACCACTGTAAACACTCCAAGAGCTGGAAGATGATGGGAGTGATTGACTTCAGCAAGGGCTAAACTCTTCCACTCTACTGGCCAGTGGCTGGTAGCTAACACAGCAAAATTATATCAAGTCTGGAATCTATGCCAAGTGGAACACACCCTGACACGGATGACGTTGATCTCCACTGCCATCAATAACCCATAGAGCACAACCATCAGTCCGGTGATGCAGAAACGCAGCTGCTGAAAGCTGAACCCATCTTGGCAATATCTGACCAGCTTGATAGTTTTGGTGACAAAGGCCATGACCCAGTACAGAAACAGAGCTGCGACACAAAGGAAGAAATAACACTTAGTTATACATAGGTATCAGTAATCTCTAATCTATCAATCAATCTGTCCAGAGTCTGCTGAGGATATAACCAGTTTAAAAACAGAGGTTATGGAAACAGTGTGTTGTTTACAATGCTTTTCTTCTTCTTTGGCAATTGTCTTCCATAAACATGGTTTTAACAATGAGTCCGTAAGTGACTGTGGAGGCCATTTCTGGATCCACACGTCCTTCCACAGTGGGGACATTGGTTTCTGGGCAGCAGTTGATCACGGTATGGATTTGCCAAGCATGCCTTCCTCTTAGCACATTTCTCCCTTGTGTCCTGAGTTCAAGTGTCTTCAAAGCCCATGACACCTTTGGTAAAAGCTGTTCTCCAACTGGAGAGCTCGCAGGCCAGTGTTTCCCAGTTGTCAGTGTTTATACTACATTTTTTTTAGATTTGCCTTGAGAGAGTCTTTAAACCTCTTTTGTTGACCACCAGCTTTCCATTTTAGCCATACTCAAAGTAGGCCCAGCAATCTTAATGGACGTGGCTAACTTAAGTGCATTAATTTTGATGGGTCTACTCTGAGTCGGATACAATCCACTAGAGACAGCTGAACAAGGCTGACATATAATAGGCATCTAAAGATTGCTATCCTAAATCTACAAGCCCTTTTCTCAATGCACTGGTGTCTTCTGCTCTGTGGGATGTACACAGCCTCTCTAGCTGTTGTGTCTCTGCCATGCATTCCCACGGAGGGAAAACACACGTGTGTCTCATTTTATTCCTCACAGCACAAATATTTATTTATCAGCAGGGAATCCAGCATGGCTTAGGTTGCACCAGTTTGCTCAAAAAGCCCACTGAAAAGAGAGTGTGTGCTTTTTAAAACAAAAACAAAAAACCAACCGCTTACCCAGAAGTAGTTTTGGAAAATTTGAGGTCTCAATATTGTGGTAATAAACGATAGATGTTGTTGCTGCTACAAATCCCATTATAGCAGGGAGGAAGAGATGTAGGTGGCGGGACTTCAACTGTCTGCAAGGGAACAAGGGTGATGTCAAAAATGTGACTGGATTGCCAAGTATCGAGTTCAAGCAGATAAGCTATAAAGCTCAGAAGCCCCTGTTCAGATCTCACCTCTTCAAAAGATTCACTAGCCAGCCTTGGGCACCAAGCCTACACCACAGGACCGGCTCTAGATGTTGTTTTGTAAAGTGCTTTGAGGTGGGTTTTGTTTTGTTTTGTTACGATCACATGGTTATATAAATTTAATGGCATAAATAAAACAAATCCCAACAGACTCAGGCAGCGTGGCCAATGGTCAGGGGACATAAGAGTTGTGGTTCAACAACTTTTGGAAGCCACAAGGTTGGGGAAGCTTGGAGTAGGATATTGCTAAAAAGCACACGGGAAGATGGTAGAAAGCGAGGATATTAGGATAATATGAGCTTTAGCCCAATGGCCCACCTAGACCAGCATCCTGTGGCCAGCCAGATGTCTGTAGGAAACCTGGAAGCAGGATGTGAGCTCAAGAGCATTCCCCCTATGATGTGGTCTCCAACAACTAGAATTCAGAAACACTTAATGCCTTTGACTGTATAGGCCAGGGGTCAGCAACCTAAGGCCCATGGGCCACAAGCAGCCCATGGGGGTCGTTTAACCAGCCCATGGACCCCCACTGCCCACTCAGGGATCCCCGCCACCCGCTCGGTTGGCTCCTGTGCACCACGCTAAACCAACATGGAGCAGAGTGGGGACCGCCTTCCACGACGCTGGCTGGCTTCCCATTGACTGCAGGAAGCTCCCACGCCAGAAGGAGCGCCGGAAATAGCATTTGTGCATGCATGCACACACACACACACACACACCCCGGCATCTTAAGACCGTGAACCAGCCCAAGCCACAAAAACTTTGCCAACCCCTGGTGCAGGCAGAGCTAGCAGCCATGGCTAGCAGCCACTGGTAGGATGAAGCTCTAAGTGTTCCATTTCTTGGCTGTAGTCTACTAGGCAGTCCGAGGACAATTGTGGGGGACCTCCAGACCCTCCCTGTTTCGGAGTGGGATTCAATCACACACTGTACCAGCAACTTCAAGTTGAGCAATAAATGCTGATATGGAGCCTTTCCCAGAAGATCAGACTTTTTGCAATAAGGAAAGTGGTGGGAAACGCATCGGAAAACATGAGACAGCACTTGCTTTGACGCAGCGTTGCCCAGAAAACAGACCAGTGTGAACAAATAGTTGACGTTGTCTCATCTCCCTGCAAACAAAAGCGGGATGGATGCTGGCCTAGACTCTTCCTGCTGTTTCAAGAGGGAGACGAACAACAGCAAGGAAAGTGAAATGTTCCACCTGCTGTTGGCATTTTTGTCCCAGTGTCTGTTGCAGCTGGGGAAAGTTAAATAGAACGGCAATGCCTTTTCCCTTTAGGAAGCAAAGAAGAAAGAGGTTTGCTATCCTTTGGGAAATGCTATGAGCTTGGTGTTACACAAGTAGCAAGGGATTTTTTTCTCCCACTCCATAAGAACGTAAGAGATCGGGTCAGTGGCCCACCATAGAGCAGTATCCTGTTCTGACAGTGGCCAACTTGATGCCAGTGGCAAACCCACAAGCAGGGGCGGAGGAAGGGGGGTGCGGTGGGCACGGGTGAACCCGGGTGTCACCACTGAGGGGGTGACAAAAATGCCAGGCAGCACTCACCATGGAGCCACACGTCTCTCCTGGGAGTGACATGGTGGCTTGGGCGCCCACGGGCTCCACGCTGCCCCAAATGGTCCGCCCGTCACCTCCCCATCAGCTGTAGGGCGGCTGAGTGGGAGGAGGCAGGCAGACTTCTCAGAGGCCCCACGGAGCGTCCTGCCCCAGCTGGCCCTGCCCCTGGGTGCACTGGCCCATGTGCCCAATCGGCTTGCTCTGCCGCTGCCTGCGACCAGGAGTCAAGAACAATAGCCCTTCCCCTTCCTGTGGCATCCAACACAACTGTGGAGGTGGAACATAGTCATGAAACCTCGTAGCCATCAATAGCTCTCTCCTCCATGAATCTGCCTAAACCTCTTTGAAAGCCATCAAGGCTGGTGGCCATCACTGTGGGAGCGAGTTCCAAAGTTGAACTATGTGCAGCCAAGCACTTACGCATCTGAAACAATGCCCTCTCCTATTTCACACACGTGCACAAAGAGGAGGGTGAACGTCAGGATCCATCGCAGGTTGTGTCCGGGGAAGTGAAGCCAAGTGTTGTGATGGATCTGAACTTTTGAGCTTTGACTTCCCCATCCTGAAACATACAAACATAAGCGTCAAAAGATATTCCTGGGGACTCCTAAAACCCTTGGACCCTTTTGGAAGCAAATGACAATAAAAGCATCATGAAGGAACTTCAGACAGATTGGCTTAGTTTTATTGATTACCTCGCACTGGCATAGTGGTCTTGGGAGGCAGGGTTTTTTAACAGTAATTCTACTATAACTCTTTACAGAAGCTTCTCTGTCTTTTCTTGAATTTCGCAGACTCATACAACCATAGAATGGTAGAGTTCAAAGGTGCCCCAAGAGTCATCAAGACTGTTTTTCAGTACCCACCCCATGTACATATGCAGTGGTACCTCAGGTTACATACGCTTCAGGTTACATATGCTTCAGGTTACAGACTCTGCTAACCCAGAAATATTACCTTGGGTTAAGAACTTTGCTTCAGGATGAGAACAGAAATCGTGCAGTGGCGGCACAGAGGCAGCAGGAGGCACCATTAGCTAAAGTGGTGCTTCAGGTTAAGAACAGTTTCAGGTTAAGAACGGACCTCCAGAGCGAATTAAGTACTTAACCCGAGGTACCACTGTATAGGTATAGAGCAGGCTTCCTCAACCTCGGCCCTCCAGATGTTTTGAGACTACAGTTCCCATCATCCCTGACCACTGGTCCTGCTAGCTAGGGATCATGGGAGTTGTAGGCCAAAAACATCTGGAGGGCCAAGTTTGAGGAAGCCTGGTATATAGCAACACAAAAACATTTCAGACAGGAATGTTCCAAGCAACAATGCACATAACTTAGCAGGTCATAAGCTCTCAGTCGTATTACTTACCAATGAACAGTATAGGAAAGGTGATAAATAAGAGGAAAACATGAGGTACCAAATTGAGGGCATCCAGAAAGCAGACGTTCTTTAAGAAGCCGGCGCTGATGTTATAGGCAGAAGGGTTGTCGTTGCCACAAAATGCGACTTTCATTGCTTCCACTCAGTTGCGCTGACGAGAGGGAAACAAACCAAATGTTTGTGATAACATCAGGGAAAACTTTTTGGGCTGTTTATTTATTTGCTTGTTAGCTCAAACACAAACCTGTCCTTAGCAAACAGATCAGATCTTTGAAGAATTACAGGACTAGAGGAGCCTCTGCGAAGAACAGCACGAGGCCTACAGGGCAAAGAGCCAAAACTTGAGCCATATCTGCACCAAACATTTAAAGCACCATTATGTCACTTTAATGGCCATGGCTTCCCCCAAAGAATCCTGGGAGCTGTAGTTTGCTAAGGATGCTGAGAGGAGTTCGGGCACCCTTATTCCCCTCACAAGACCACAATGCTCCAAGGGGCTCAGACTGGCAAACACAGTCCAGGTATCTTCATAACAAGGCTGTAAGGTAGGATAGACTGAGAAAAAGAGGTTGTTTTTGTTGTTGTTGTTGTTAATATACCACCCTATACTCCGAGGTCTCAGGGTGGTTCACAGAATTATTTAGCTCTGATACCAAACCCAATATGCTCCCTGCCGCCAGCAAAGATGGATTGGTAGGTAGCAAATCCTGAGCTGTAAATTATATGCTAACGTGCACAAAATAAAGGCGTATATTGTGTACATAACGCATATACAGTGGTGCCTCGCGAGACGAAATTAATCCGTTCCGCGAGTCTCTTCGTCTTGCGGTTTTTTCGTCTTGCGAAGCACGGCTGTTAGCGGCTTAGCGGCTATTAACGGCTTAGCGGCTATTAACGGCTTAGCAGCTATTAACGGCTTAGCGGCTTTAAGAAAAAGGAAACAAACTCGCAAGAACTCGCAAGACATTTCATCTTGCAAAGCAAGCCCATAGGGAAATTCGTCTTGCGGAACGACTCAAAAAAACGGAAAACTCTTTCGTCTTGCGCGTTTTTCGTCTTGCGAGGCATTCGTCTTGCGAGGTACCACTGTATAAAAGAGTTGAGCCCTGTGCTGTACTATATTTCTACAGCATAATGTTAATACATATTTTTTTTAACCATTATATGCATTCTTGAATGTATCTGCTTATGTGCTGGTGACTTTAGGAAACCTGGATTAATAATATATGTGCAGTGTTGTCTATCATATGAACAGAGATGGGAGCCTATGGCAATTTCGGTTTCTCTCAGTTTCTCACTTTTCCAATCTTAAATTCAGTTCTCCACATCCATTTGCTATTGTTTGTTTGTTTGTTTGCTTGCTTGTCTGTTTGTTTTAAAGAGTCATCATGAAAATTCACCAGCATTTTAGTGAGAATTGTTCCTGATAAACGCATTTTTTGTATAAAGAATACATTTTTGTATTCTTTTTGTAGAAGAAGACATTTTTGAATGCTTTTTCCACAAATGCCTGCATTGTTACGCACCCCTCATCCTTGTATTCATGCTTCTTGACCAGAGAAATGCATTGCAAAATTTGGGGAAGTGCGAATTTTGAAATATGGCTGTGTTCCAGAGTTCAAATATTGTTCCAGAAAATGCAGATATAGATAGGTTCACTTTTAAACGCAAACTGAATCAAATTTCACCCGGATCTCTAGCTCCAACTCACATCCACCACAGACTCTGTGGCCAGAATTCTTTATCTGGGAAACGCAAATTGCTAACGGTGAGATGTTATTTAATCAGAACTCCCAACAAATCATCATGAGTTGCTTGGGCCGTGTTGAAGAAAGCCAGAGAGTATTAAGAAAATATCTTCAACATATCCCATACAACCCATGCTGACTTATGGGGAGTTATGATTAAATAACATCTCACCGTTACCAATTTGCATTTCCTAGATAAAGAATTATGTATGTGTTAACTGCTGGTGGCTACTTTAAAAAAAAAAAAAATCTTACAAGGATTTAGATTTTGATAATATCTCAGATACTAATAACACAAACTATTCTTAACTGCTTCCCTCTCAACCCTGAACAGTATTAACCATTTATATTTAATGTGCATGTCCAAAATTGTATGGAACCTATAACACCGGGTAGGATGCAATGCTAGTCTTACTCAAAGTAAACCCATTGAAGTTACTGGATATGAATAACTGAGGTTCATTACTTTCAGTGGTTTTACTGTGAGTCAGATTGAGTTGAAATTGTTTTTCCCCTCTTTCTCCAGAGTTTGGATTATGTGCAATGGACCTAAATCACCCCGGACACGAACCTGCCAAAATTAAGCCCTCTTCTCTCTAGCTGATTTTGGTGAGAGAAGTTAAACATGTGCTGAATTCATTCTGATTGACATCAACAAAAAATCCAAGGCTGCAATCCTACACACACACACACTGAAGAGAAAGCAATCGTATACCCACTCACAGGCAAAGTAAACCCCATTAAACTCGATAGGACGTAAAGTGGATCTTATTTCGAGGTGAAAATACTTCGGAATATGCTGCAAATACGCTGAACATCTTTAGCTGGATTGTGAGGTAAGTGTGTTAAGAAAAAGCACAGACTTATTGTCATAGTTGTGTATAAAGGCGTTAAAACGACACTATAAAGTAACATGTGCAACTATATATTGCCAACTATACAAATACTCCCCCCCCCTTCGTTTTTACAAAAAGCTTAATGCATGCACTTGTACAGTCCCTGGTTTCATTATTCCGTGATTCTACGTTGTATTGTTTTGTGCGTTGTAACCAGTTTCAGAAAAAGAAATCTCCCACCCAGCCAGTCTAAACGATACAAGAGAGCAAAAGTGATCTCTAGGTAGGAACCGGTAAATAAAAAGTTAAAACAGCTCCCAGTGTCAAACCCTAGAGTAGTAGAGAAGGAGTTTGGAGCTGGGGAGGGGAAAGAGGACTTTCTTCCAAGGAAAAGCAGGGAAAAGTTTAGGAGCGGATCAGACCCGGTTGTAGAATTACTTACCTTCCCAAACAAACACACACGCACACACTTCGCACAGAATGCCAAGGCACACTTCTCCAGGTGGGACCAGGATCACGGAGGTGGAGGAGATCTGCTCCTCTGGAGGAAGCAGACACAAGCAAGACCCAGAGCGGCTTATTTTTAGGCTGGTGATGGGGAGGTCAGCTGCTGCCTCCTATCGGGTTTCCAAAGTGAACAGATTCTTCTTGCGTCTTTCTCACACAGGCACTGTGGCGGGAAGGAAACTAGGGAGAGAGACGAGCGAGCTTAAAAGAATCACACTTTATATGGGTTTTTATCATACAAATTCCTCCTTCCTCTGCACTGAATGAAGGGTACCCAAGGCAGAGGGATGGGAGAACCTGCCAATTTTGGTTTCTCATTTTAAGTTCAGTTCCCCACATTTCTTCCATCGTTTTGTGATCATTTTATATATTAAAAAGTCCTCGTGAAAATTCGTCAGCATTTTCTTGCACATCTCTCCTTATAGACACCTCTTTGCATGCAGTTTTGCCCAATACCATATTTTTCGCTCTATAAGATGCACCAGACCACAAGACGCACCTAGTTTTTGGAGGAGGAAAACAAGAAAAAAATATTCTGAATCTCAGAAGCCAGAACAGCAAGAGGGATCGCTGCGCAGTGAAAGCAGCAATCCCTCTTGCTGTTCTGGCTTCTGGGATAGCTGCGCAGCCTGCATTCGCTCCATAAGACGCACACACATTTCCCCTTACTTTTTAGGAGGAAAAAGTGAGTCTTATAGAGCAAAAAATACGGGTACACATTTTTGCAAAGCAATTTCCCCTTCTACCATGCATTTATACATCCTATTTCCCCCAGCATTCTTGTACGCATTACTTGGCCAGAGAAATGCATTACAAAATTCAGGAAAGTGTGGGTTTTTAATGGATGGCTGCTTTTCAGTTCACATGATGTTTCAGAATGCACGGATTATGTAGGTTCACCTACAGATGCAAACTCAATCGGATTTCTTCCCCAGCTGTACCAAAAGCAGCTAAATCATAATAATGCACTGGCTCCCGGTGGAGTACAGGGTCAGGTTTAAGGTGCTGGTTTTGACCTTTAAAGCTCTATGCGGCCTAGGACCCATGTACCTACGGGACCGCCTCTCCTGGTATGCTCTGTGGCGGACCTTAAGGTCTACAAATGGCAACATTTTGGAGGTCCCAAGTCACAAGGAGGTTAGATTGGTCTCAACTAGGGCCAGGGCCTTTTCAGTACTGGCCCCAACTTGGTGGAACACTCTGTCACAAGAGACTAGGGCCCTGGGGGACTTGACATCTTTCCGCGGGGCCTGCGAGACAGAGCTGTTCCACCTGGCCTTTGGTTTGGACTCAGTCTGACCCTCATGTTTCCCTCCCCTTATGGTTTTGACTTTTAAAATGAGGCTGCATTTTAAATTGCATTTTAACCTGTATTTTAATTCCCCCCCTTTTTTTTTCTTATTATGTTTTTACTGAAATTTTATTGGTGTTAGCCGCCCTGAGCCCGGCTCTGGCCGGGAAAGGCGGGGTATAAATAAAAATTATTATTATTATTATTATTATTATTATTACTCTTTCAGAACTTCATTTCCAAGTATGATGTGCTAGGTCCCCCCTTTGGTAGGGCACCTTGTCCCTTCAAATCTTCCTGACTGGAAAGCCCCAAAATGCTGCTGTTGCTGTTATTAAACAACATTTAAATAACAAATCATAATATTTATATAGCAGGGAAACAGGGAGGCAAACCAGCAAAAATAAAAAATGAAAAAACCCAAGTCAGAACCTGGTGATAGCAGTTTTCAGCAATGGCACAACTGTGGCATGTAATTCTGCATGAGAATAGATAAGCCCCACCCCTTATAGCAGGCATAGGCAAACTCGGCCCTCCAGATGTTTTGGGACTACAATTCCCATCATCCCTGACCATGGGTCTTGTTAGCTAGGGATCATGGGAGTTGTAGTCCCAAAACATCTGGAGGGCTGAGTTTGCCTTATAGCAGGGGTGATGAGCACTTTCTTTAAGCTCATCGGCCGCATTCCCTTCCGGGTCACCTTTCAAGGGCCACTTGTTAGTGGTGGGTGGAGCCAGAGGCAAAAGTGGGCGGGGCAACTCATGTAAATTCTACCTTTGTACAGTAGGCTAGTTTCTGTGCCCGTTCACATGCCCCCTCTCTGTCCACCGTCCAGGCAAGCGAGAGGCATTATCGGAATTCAAGGACACATTCCAGACAGGGAAAACACTCAAGGAGGGTGCAAGGCAGGGCCAGTGTCATGTGAACTGGCTAGATCCACAGGTGGGAGGCATCAGCTGGGGAACCCCCAAGGGAAGGTTTTCGGTTTTGGTTTTTTAAAAAAGATGGCCTTGACACAGACTGAACCCAATTAATTTTTGTTTGCATATTAAGCCGTCTGCCATGGTTACTTCATAGTTGAACCTGTATAGTACGCATGTTTGAACCATTCCCATTTCATGTTATGAAATATACACATGACACCTCACATTTTAATAATTTCTGACATCCTCTTCTATTTTCAACAATAACCATTATTACAACTGCATACAGTGGTACCTCGGGTTAAGTACTTAATTCGTTCTGGAGGTCCGTTCTTAACCTGAAACTGTTCTTAACCTGAAGCACCACTTTAGCTAATGGGGCCTCCCGCTGCTGCCGTGCCGCCACTGCACGATTTCTGTTCTCATCCTGAAGCAAAGTTCTTAACCTGAGGTACTATTTCTAGGTTAGCGGAGTCTGTAACCTGAAGTGTATGTAACCTGAAGCGTATGTAACCTGAGGTACCACTGTATTTTCACACTGAACTGGTGTCATTGTTTCAGGAATATAATTAAATCTATATATTAAAAAAATTAGCCGATTTTGGCCAAAAGCAACTGGTTTTTTCCTCTACACCTCATATCTATTTATATATGCTGCTAAGTAGCTGTAAGTCGGTGCTACACTGGAGAAATCCCATGATTTTTAGCACCTTGTGAAAACGGTGCTGCATTTGCCCAGCTGTTTTCTGCATGCTCCCTAACTTTATTCTTCGCACAACGGAACTTGAAGAAACTAGGAGACCCCTTTTCTCAGAACGCCTCTAGCGCATGGGAAATGCGACCAGCATCAGAGCTCCTGGTGCCCGTGTAATTGTCATGAACTCTCCGCAAATGTACTCTGCATTGCCTGAAACATTTTGTGCGACATTCATGCTACAGCAAACCTTCCAAGTTGTGAATTACAATCCCATCTCTCTCTACCCCCCCCACCTCTGCCTCGCGCTTTCCTCCCTGCCATCCCCATTCGCCTATTGAAAAGGGCTTACCGGGATCTATTGCGGCAATCCGAGGAACCCGGGTGAACACAGAGATGGCTCTCCAGAGATGCCATCTCACAAGACTGCAGCATGAGGTTTATGGAGCAAGACACACTGCCTTCTGCCGCCGGCTCAGAGCATGCAGACGGGGAAAGCAGAGAACAACCAAAGCCGTCATTTAAGCGCTTGCGAAGACAATGCCGTTCCCATTAATGTGCAAGCTTTATGCTTCAGCCATCTGACCTCCTCCAGGGGTGAGATGAGGGCACTCTCCTTCTCTGGCTTAAAAAGAAAGCAAAATAAAAGGCTTTCTGTGGAGCTGGAGCAGATTAGGACACATCAGCACAGCTGGATTTCTATAGGTACACTAGACACACTATCAGTTTCCTGGTTTGCACGCACATCTAAATGGATTGTGTGCATATGTGTTTATTCTTTAAGAGTTTTCAATGCAAATAGCATTCGTTTTTATTTGTATACTGCCGGGCATACAGATATGTTGCAAGATGCTTCACAATAGGAAAATCACAGGCAAGGAAGACCACACAATTAAAGTGCTCTTGGAAAAGACACATATGTGATTAAAGGCGATCTCAGATGAGGTTCAACCCACTAATATCCCTTTAGTTGGAAATCTATGCAATTTGCTGCAAAATGGCGATCTGCTCAAATTCCCATTCAAAGAGGATGGCTTCGCAGGGTGTTGTGAAAATGGCAAAATATCCAGATCTAGTGAAAACTAGGAGATGGGGTGGTGGGAACAGCAATTTAAAGAAACACGATTTCCCTTTGTCAAGTCATAAGGAGCAAAAGTTTAATTTGGAATTACCTGACAACTTTTCCACTGCTGAGAAAACATTAGCATGATTTATATAGATTTTATCAATGCTTAAATGTTTATCTATTTAAAGTGGTTTGTTTCAGATTCAGTATGAACTTATGTGCATCAAAGTGGTGGAGCATAGTGTGTGTGTGTATATATAGACCTCTTTATTACACAGGAGCAGGTGGCGCTGTGGTCTAAACCACTGAGCCTCTGGGGCTTGCTGATCCAAAGGTTGGCGATTTGAATCCCAGCGACAGAGTGAGCTCCCGTTGCTCTGTCCCAGCTCCTGCCAACCTAGCAGTTCGAAATCACACCAGTGCAAGTAGATAAATGGGTAACACTGTGGTGGGAAGGTAAACAATGTTTCTGTGCGCTCTGGCTTCCGTCACGGTGTCCCATTGCTCCAGAAGCGGTTTAGTCATGCTGGCCACATGACCCAGGAAGCTGTCTGTGGACAAACACCGGCTCCTTTGGCCTGAAAGCAAGTTGAGCGCTGCAACCCCATAGCTGCCTTTGACTGAACAGATTCTGCACCTAAAGCATGGGTAGGCAAACTAAGGCCCGGGGGTCGGATCCGGCCCAATTGCCTTCTAAATCTGGCCCGTGGACGGTCCGGGAATCAGTGTGTTTTTACATGAGTAGAGAATGTGTCCTTTTATTGAAAATGCATCTCTGGGTTATTTGTGGGGTCTGCCTGGTGTTTTTACATGAGTAGAATGTGTCCTTTTATTGAAAATACATCTCTGGATTATTTGTGGGGCCTGCCTGGTGTTTTTACATGAGTAGAAAGTGTCCTTTTATTTAAAATGCACTTCTGGGTTATTTGTGGGGCATAGAAATTAGTCATTTTCCCCCCTTTCAAAATATAGTCTGGCCCCCCACAAGGTCTGAGGGACAGTGGACCGGCCCCATGCTGAAAAGGTTTGCTGACCCCTGGCCTAAAAAGTGCCCCATCTACAAATGGGGCACTACAACCCAGAAGAATCATAATCACTAGAATCATAGAATTGGATGGGATCACAAGGGTCATCTAGTCCAACCCCCTACAATGCAGGAATCTTTTGCCCACACCCTGACATTAAGAGTCTCATGCTCTACCATCACAGCAGTCTCTCC